GTGAGAATGGTCCAGGACGGACCGAAACGTCGTCGTCCCTTCAACTTCTAATGTGTGGTCTGGTCAACATTCTTCAGCCACGTTGTTGTGACTCATCGCCTGCAGATTTATTAATCGAAGCGTTAGTAACAAGACACCTGGTGTGGTTCTTCAGCTATATCTTGCTCTGGTTAGGCCCCATTTAGATTATGCAGTTCAGTTTTGGTCGCCGTACTATAGAATGAATATAAATTCACTTGAACGTGTCCAGCGTAGGATGACAAAGTTAATTCCCCAAATTAGAAGTCTTTCATATGAAGAAAGATTAATAAAGCTTAAATTGCATTCACTGGAAAGACGAAGAGCTAGGGGTGACATGATAGAAGTTTACAAGTGGATGAATGGATAAAACAAAGGGGGATATTAATAGGGTATTAAAAGTATCAACTCAAGACAGAACACGAAACAATGGGTATAAATTGGATAAGTTTAGATTTAGGAAAGACTTGGGTAAACACTGGTTCGGTAACAGGGTTGTTGATTTGTGGAACCAATTACCGCGTAACGTGGTGGAGGTGGGGTCCCTCGATTGTTTCAAGCGTGGGTTGGACATGTATATGAGTGGGATTGGGTGGTTATAGATAGGAGCTGCCTCGTATGGGCCAATAGGCCTTCTGCAGTTACCTTTGTTATTATGTTCTTGCTCCTAACTAATTCTATTGCTGTCTTGAATCTCTGTATTAGTTCCTCACTCCTAACTCGCCCAACATCATTACCCCCTGCACTAATACAAATAATGGGTTTGTTCCCATTTCCCGTCATAATATCTTTCATGTTTCCAACAATATCACCAATACCAGCTCCCGGATAGCAAACCCTTAACCTGTTCCCCTTATCTCTGGCACAAAACGTTCTGTCTAAATACCTCACCTGGGAATCTCCCACAACCAAAATTCGCTTCGTTCCTCCCTTTTCCTTTAGGGCACTTTTTAGGGACCTGCGCTTCAATGCTCCTCGTTGCTTTGCCTTTGTCTCCTCGTTGAACTACAGGTTCACCACAGCACTTGTCCTCTAACACATCAAATGCGTTAGAAGTCCTTAGGCTATTAGATGTCGGTTTTGCCAAGGTCTTCTTAAGACCCCTGTCCTTTACAACTTGCCAAGATGAGGTCTTTTTAATTGCTGCATCCGCATCGAGGTTGCTGCATCAGATGGACCTTTGTTCTTATGTTCTTATGTAACGTGGTGGAGGTGGGGTCCCTCGATTGTTTCAAGCGCGGGTTGGACAAGTATATGAGTGGGATTGGGTGGTTATAGATAGGAGCTGCCTCGTATGGGCCAATGGGCCTTCTGCAGTTACCTTTGTTCTTATGTTCTTATGTTCTTCTTCAATAACGAATTGTAAAAACACCTATAACAGAAACATAATTGAATCTGCTGTGATACAGATCACAAAAGAAAGTAATTTGAACATTAGCAGTGGTCTATATAACTTATATCCATTTTTATTAGATCAATTAAAGGGCGATTTAAGTAGGATCATTGAAACACATTTGTCTCACTAATTCATTGTAAATATTTACTATTTTATGCTATAATCATCTATGTGTGGGCCTGTGTGTGGTTGCTGCATCAGATGGGCCAATGGGCTGCATCAGTTGGGCCAATAGGCCGTCTGCAGTGTCCACGTATTGTACCTCACCTCACTCCACCATTCTCTCCTGCCTATTTATATCCGGTACTCGATCTGTAAAATCATTCCTTCTGAAGATGTATTAATATACGAAAGTACTTAAGGAATTTCCTGTTTCAATTTTCCTCCTTAATCCGCTTAATGCTATGCCCAAGATTACCATCCGAGTGCCGGCGGGAAAGTGGTTCAAATAGCTTCGGCTATCACTTTCTTTTGTCCGGTCGTGATGGTCAAGTGGATTAAGGCGTCCTGTAGTTACCAGTTGCGTTGCTCCTGGGAGTATGGGTTCGAGTCACTTCTGGGGTGTGAGTTTTCAGTCGCATATAGTCCTGGGGACCATTCAGGCTTGTTTGCATATATGAACCCGCCTAGCAATACCAATACCTAGCACCCGTCAGTAACCAATAAACTCCTTCAGCATCGTACAAAAGCTAATCAACACACCTGGGGAAAATTCAGTGTCAGGATCAGAAAATTCGAAGATTGTCAAGTCGTTGATGGAAGCACTGAAAGCCTCTGTCTCCACTGCCTTCAGGTTATTGTTGAACATGATCACCTCCCGGAAAGTGAACCCGTTGAACACATCTGCCGTAAGTGTCTCACCATCGAACTTGCTGTCACTGACCTGCGGAATACACACACTACCTGTCAACACACTACTACATGCTATTATGATGGTAATGACCAGGACAATACCATTATTTTTGTTAAAAATTATGTAGATCGTTAAATATAATTAATGAAGAACTCTCTTTCAGGAATGTTCTTGTACTGGGGGTTGTGGGTTGCGCACGTACATGTGTACTCCCCTATTTGTGCCTGCAGGATCAAGCATTGACTCTTGGATCCCGCCTTTGTAACCATAGGTTGTTTACAGTAATAACTCCTGTTCCATTTGATACCGAGAGGTATATAATTGATGTGGCATCTTGTTCAGAATCACGGGCTCACCATAGCCTGTGCTACATGGACATTTCGTTCTGGGTAGCTGAATCTAAAACAACAACTTTTTCAGAAGCTCTCATTGTCCATCCATTCTTTTTCTTAGTTACTGCTGCATTTGCTTTACTGCGCACTCTGAACGTCAGGCCATCTTTTATTATTATTATTATTCCTATTATTATTTATTATTATTCCCTTATCTTTTACCTTGTCACACAGGTCTACAAAATGATCTGAGTGTCACGCATCCTTTATTAACCCGGCCTCAGGATGGAGGTACCCCCTCAACGTAATCACTTTAAAACCACTACGTATGTAGTGCTACTACAGTATCTACTACCTATCCATGGTTAGGTTTGGTTAATACAGTATTATTCTCAAACATGTGTAATATGAACTTAAAATTGAGTATCCCCTAAAATTTGAGATTAAAGAAAACTTATGCCTCAGCTCATCTCACAGAAAACGAGTTTACCACACGCTTTTTATAATTTTAAGCCAGGATTTATAATACAATACAGTTATAACGTGAGCATATCCTATGTTTAGAGAAAAGGTTATTTTCCGTTTACCAGAAAACTATTATTAGTCGTAATATGTCATAATATGCTTTTAAACCATCACAAATATCTAGATAACTGTTCATGTGGACGAAAGGGGAGGTTGGTGTCTCTAATCACTTTTCCCTGCGAACTGGCTGCCTTTATTAATCTAATTTTGAGTTTGTCGTGTAGCTCAAGCATGTCTAGTATTGCTTTTCCTCTGGGTTATCTTCCACATAGCATTGTTTCTGGGAAGTCTCTGACCTTCGACCATGATTCATCAAGCATTTACGCAGCCACTTACGAAACCTGTACGTCTTTTGACAATCAAGGCAGCTTTGTTTACATCTATTAAACAGTTTACGAGTTTCGAAATTTTACAATACAAGGTTATTGTTCCTACCGTATATCAATGAACATCGTCACCTTCGTATGCAAGGCTGGCCAACAACATATGACTCCTTTTTGAAATCTATTGTTATTGTTATAAATAATCTTATAGTACACCCTTGTAGTGAATGCCCACACACGGACCGAAAACACATTTGCCATACTCTTAATTTTTCAATGTGTTTTTTCCGAATGCTTTAATCAATGTTTTATCGATCGTTGTTACATACATACATATCACCAATAACTCTATTGACTCGGCCAGGATTCGAACCCCAGCCGCCCAGGATCACCCCCAAGCATATAGGGTACTGTAATGTACCATGTCCATTACAGGGTACAATGCAGTACGATCACCTCGCCAATGATCGTCTACGACGATTATTTGCGAGGTGATCACCAATGAACACTGTCACTAGAGTTCTTAATGAACTATGGCTCACGCGATCATGCAGCCTTTGTGTCATATATACATATATAATTAATATATCTTCATACCTGCAATCTGAAAAACTTTTTAAACTGGAAAGGCTTCAGGAAAAGTTCCGTAAGTATTGCCAGGTCGGGAAGGTTCTGGCAGTCAACGAAGAGGTTGAGGTCGTCGTCAGCATAGCAGGTGCAGGGAGCCACCTCCTCCTCCGACGGGCAGGGCCACGCCCCTAACCTGCAGGGTACATGAAGGGTTGTCAGACTCATCAACACAGTGCCAACCTCCCTCACATATGGCTACTAGAATTTAACCCAAGTGCAAAATAATGAAGCTGATTGCGGGGAACAGGAGACCGAGCACAAGGAATCACAGGGGAGAAGACATTCTACCGTATTCAAATAGAGAAAGAGATGCGAAGGTTGATATACTGTGTACCTATCAAAAGATGCCCACATCAAATGAACATCATCACCTTCGTATGCAAGGCTGACCAACATATGACTCCTTTTTGAAATCTAAACAGGGTGTCGTTCAAGACCCTTGTATACCACACATGTCAGACCTACGCTGCGGTTACCTTGCGATGATTCCGGGGCTTAGCGTCCCCGCGGCCCGGTCCTCGACCAGGCCTCCTCGTTGCTGGCCCTCTATAACTATTATATTGATGAAAAAATCAATTGCACCAATGAGGGGATTCGAAGCCTTGACTTCGGTGCTCCCAGACCGCACACTTTACCTCTAGACCACCAGATGGTATAAGTTATACAACCTGGGATTCCACCGAATCCACAGGACGTCGGGAAACCTGCATAACCCAGTCCGGGTTTCACTTATAACCCCAATGCGCAGCTTTGGAGGACCCAGATCGTGGGTTTGAATCCCCTCATTGTTCCATGCTCAAGATTACTTTAATGTTGGACCCCTACTGTGTTCAGCTAGGCTAAAACAGATGTGCATGCCGAGTTATCAACAATATAAAATGCATAGAGCAATGGCACAAAATCTTGAGTTTTTCTACCAGATATAGGTCGCGTCTGATCTCTACCTGGTGGCGCAAGTGTACCATTAACCATCCTCGGAACATACGTATCAAGTGAATGGTTGACAACGGTCGTGTGAGGAAGACAGGTGGAAGTGGCCACAGACCGGGACTTGGGGGATAGAACTCCCAGAACCCGCTATGTAATACTCACCTTGCTAGAGAGTGTGGGGGCACAGCAGACGAGGCAGCAGCAGCCAGGAGCAGCAGAAAAGGTAACAGCGCAGAGTTCCTCTGCAACAGATGATATAGCGCACTTTGGTGTCAGGTTTAAGACCAACCAACCTCTGGAGGGGATTGACTGGTCTTAACATCATTACAATTTAGGCCAGCACAATGATAATGTTAAATTAGGGAAAAGTACATACATATAAAATGAGTTACAAGCAAAATGTTGGATTTCTAAATGGAGCTAGCATATACTATGATTATAGCCACTAATACGAACAACATTTCGGGCAAGATGTGGAAAAAATAAACTTAAAAACTAAGACTTAAAACTAATTGAGATCAAAAGCAAGAATTGAACTGAAGTAGAAAAAATGACAATAATAACATGTTAAATGGAACAGTAGAAATTGCAGCATAACATCAGATAGCAATTTTAACTAAATAAACAGACGGAATACAAATTTCTTTCAGTTTATACATGGCAGATATCAGCAGTTTTACAAGTTTTACAAGCTGTAAAGTGCTACGGAATTATCTATAATAATAATAACCTTGGGTTGTAAAGTTTCAAAGCTCTTAAACATTTAAATAAATGCAGACTGAGCCGCCATGATCGAGGAAAGATGTACAGGCTTCGTAAGTGGACACGTAAATGCTTTTTGAACCCTAGCCCACAACCTTCAATTAAACACTTCAGATTAACAATAGTGATCGTCCCCAGGCAAAACAGACTCAATCACATATCTTTTTCACATATGCGAGTCAGTACTAGTTACATGCGGGACAGTTACAGCCCCGCTCCTGTGCCAGGTAAGTCCACTACGGGCTCACCATAGCCCGTGCTGTGGACTTACAGCAAGTTGCTACTTGCAACTTTCGTTCAAAGAAGCTGATTCTAAACAACATCATGTGGGAACAAACTCTCAAACCGACGGTATGCGGCCGAGGCTGCTAACATGGCGATGCCAGAGTTCTATACAACGCTTAGTGAGGAAACTTTGCACTTCACCGAGCCTCCAGTGGAATTGGAATCATATTTTATGGAATTGGAATCATATTTTAATCTTCTGAACAAAGATTTTCTGAAGCTAAAGTTCTTTTTTCCTAAATTATTTACTAATAAAAATGCCTATTATTCCAAGTTCGTAAATTGTATGTAGTACGCAGGTGATGTAACCTTCCCACCGCCGCTCGCTGGATGAGTGTGGGGGTGTATGATAGACAAATTAAAACTATATATAATTGGCGCAATAAATTTAGTTTTTTATGACCAAACCAAACATCACAAGATGGAGACACGACGAAGTTTCGGTCCGTCCTGGAAACATTATCAAGTCGAGAAACACACGACTTTATAATGGTCCAGGACGGACCGAAACGTCGTCGTCCCTTCAACTTCTAGTGTGTGGTCTGGTCAACATACTTTAGCCACGTTATTGTGACTCATCGCCTGCGCAGTCGTTTCTTTGTCTTCTGATGTGTAGTTTGATCATCATATCTTCAGCCACGTTACTGTGACTCACCTTCTACAGACTCAGTTGTTTGTGTTAGGGGCCACTTGAGGTTACAGTGATGTAAGTTTGGTAAACTGGGATTTTTTATTTTTGTGTAAACTGTGTAACCTATATAACTGTAACGAACTATATTAGCATCAGTGTTGTAACTTGCTTAGCCAAACGAATTTGGAGGGAGGGGTTCAGCTCCTGACCCCATTATGTGCCTCTGTGACCACTACAGCTCATAGGTCACGTATGGGGTACATAATAAATGAACTAAATAAATTAAACTTCACCGAATCTCAGGTCTTCAATGTTATTTCAGTGACTTTCCTCTCGCCTCTGATATCTTACTTATCAAACTTTGAAGCATTTTTTGCTCGATTCGTATCTATTCACTTTGTAAACTTATCAGCTGTCTGTCGCTTCCTTAAATACTGACGTCTTTATCTTGCTTCTCACTAGAACTTTTTGTCCCGTCTTTCTAATACCCGAGTTAGCTTTCTGGGAGACATTTTACCATAAGGACTAGTCCTCTACCGATAGACTGATAGATATCCTTTCTTCATAAACGTTAATTTTGTTCCTGGAATAGCAGCGTTCATCCTTTAGACATAAGAGGCATGAGGGTTTATTGTCTGCAACCGAGACCCCTTACAAAGATTGTCGAGGTCCCTTTTAGCATATACCTTATATAGGGCGAGGATGTGACCATGTGGTCGACCATATGGTCACCCAAGCAGTAATTGGCCAGACCAAACGGTGCTTAACCTAACTGACCGAGTGTTGTGAACAACGTCTACGGCACCACATCTTTCAATTAGTGATCTGATTCCGTTTAATTCCCAAGCTGTACATGGGTTCCAGATCATCATATACACACTCTCCAAACACTCGAGTTTTTCATTTCCTTTGTCCTAATGATTATTATATACGTCTCTTTACAATCCTCTGGTAGTATCAGCTATTGATACAGATAATGACTCCAAAGAGCCATTATCTGGCTCCACTTACGGGCTCACCATAGCCCGTGCTACTCGGAACATTTTATTTTCAGAGTAGCTGAATATAAAACAACAACAACAGATCCTCTGATCATAACTTCATATTTTATCTTGCTACATGACACTCCCTCCGTCCCTCAGCCACTAAATATTCCGACACACGTCATTTCCACTAGAGACTGGACCAATTTTAGGATTTATTTATTTTTCTGAATTATCTGGAATAATATTTTTTTATCTTCGCATGACACACCCTTCTGTATGCAGAACATGTTACCAAGACTATCAATGTTGGATTGGAAGCTTTCAACTCATTTTGTTCCTCTTCTACCACCAGCAAACTATGGTGGGATGAGCCTAGTGCCAAAGAAATTCATCTTCAGCAGTCTCCCTCTGCAATTATCCATTCTCTATAATGTTGCCCAAAACCATGCAAAGTCCTTCTCTGCTCCTCAGCAGAACATAGAAAGTATTGCAGTGGACAGACATGTGGACTAAACCATCTGACTGAGTGCTCTGTTCTGGCCATCCTGGACAAGTCCAGTCTCCCTTGCCCTTTTTCTCCTCTAATCAACCTTGTGTCCTTTTTTCTTAAATACATTTATTCATAAAGCTCTATAAAAAGATAAAGCTCAAATTCATACAGCGTAAAAAATTTAGTAGTCTGCTTCCTTATGAGCTAAGAAAGCCTCGTACATATAACTGGTCACCAGTTTCTCCTTTGTTTATCCTGTGAAACTTTCCAATCATTTTAGAAACTTTTGTTCATCCTGTTACGACGAAAAGTGACTATTCAAGACTTAACTATAGACTGACCTGCAATATTTGAGCTTTTTACCCTTCTCTGAGAACATATTTATACATATCCAATAGATCCACCTATCAGTAGAGTACACAATATTACAATTTACACAATTTTGCCTGAAATGCTATGCATATTAGTGGCTTTAAGTATTGTATGTACTAGCTCTATCTATAAATCCAACATTATGTTTGTATGTACTTTTGACACATTGACACGAATGTGCATCGTGTAGGCTGGCTACAAGTGCCCATACACGATACAAGTGCAACTTGCACACACAGAAATCACAGTAGCGTGATATATCAAATGAATTTTGTTTTTTCTGCCATGTTTCCCCCCCCCCTCCTTTTTTTATTTTTATTTGTTCTCAACACATTTTATACTTTAATCTCAATTAGTATTAAGTTTTAGTCTTTAATGTTTTTTTGCCCGAAACGCTTTGCGGAATAGTGGCTTTAGGCATTGTATGTACTAGCTCTATCTATAAATCTATCAATTTTTGTATAACCTCTTGTATGTATGTACTTTACCTGAATAAACATTTGAATTTTGAATTTTGAATAAATCCAGGACAATCGACTTGATAATAGTCCAGAACGGACCGAAACGTCCTTGTCCTATCATTTTCTAGTGTGTGGTCTGGTCAACAATAAATCCAGATCACGGCCCTTTGTGGATTTATTCAAGAACAACTTACCATAATGACGTGCGGTGTGAACGAGGTCTGGGAGCGTTGTGAACACCACATAGATGCGTCCCTGGCTTAAAGACACCGTCTTGTCTCCCGTAGTTCTCAGCGTTATCTGATCCAGTGGTTGTCCCTTGTGTGTTATGGCAGGTGTGGGAGCGGGTCGTGGTTCACACCCTGGTTGACAGGGCAGGTGGTGGTTCTCAAGACTATGGCGCCATTGGTGTGTGTGATGCCATCACCTGCTCCTCCTTCCTGGCCAACTACCATCACTGAGGTCTCCAACCTCTTATAACCACTATCTCACTTTGTGAAACAAATGACCCCCCCCCATTATTAAATGAAGCCTATGCATCTTATCGCGTTTATAATTGTAATTATTACAATTTAACCAACTGAAATTGTTTTTTATTCCCGCGCAGGACGAGGCGTTTGTACGGGTACATTTCCATACACCTGATGCCTCTGTCCACTAAAACAGGCAGGCTGATAATCACGAAATTGTTTTGCGTTCTATTCCTGAAACTGGGGAAACCAAACATTGGAAACCAAAAGTACCGCGATACAGTACATGGTTTTTTAATATATATTAAATATATATATATATATATATATATATATATATATATATATATATATATATATATATGTCGTACCTAGTAGCCAGAACTCACTTCTCAGCCTACTATTCAAGGCCCGATTTGCCTAATAAGCCAAGTTTTCCTGAATTAATATATTTACTATAATTTTTTTCTTATGAAATGATAAAGCTACCCTTTTCACTATGTATGAGGTCAATTTTTTTTTATTGGAGTTAAAATTAACGTAGATATATGACCGAACCTAACCAACCCTACCTAACCTAACCTAACCTATATATATAGGTAAGGTTAGGTTAGGTAGCCAAAAAAAGCTAGGTTAGGTTAGGTTAGGTAGATTAGGTAGACGAAAAAACATTAATTCTTGAAAACTTGGCTTATTAGGCAAATCGGGCCTTGCATAGTAGGCTGCGAAGTGAGTTCTGGCTACTAGGTACGACATATATATATATATATATATATATATATATATATATATATATATATATATATATATATGTCGTACCTAGTAGCCAGAACGCACTTCTCAGCCTACTATACAAGGCCCGATTTGCCTAATAAGCCAAGTTTTCATGAATTAATGTTTCTTCGACTACCTAACCTACCTAACCTAACCTAACTTTTTCGGCTACCTAACCTAACCTAACCTATAAATATAGATTAGGTTAGGTTAGGTAGAGTTGGTTAGGTTCAGTCATATATCTACGTTAATTCTAATTCCAATAAAAAAAAATTGACCTCATACATAATGAAATGGGTAGCTTTATCATTTCATAAGAAAAAAAATAGAGAAAATATATTAATTTATGAAAACTTGGCTTATTAGGCAAATCGGGCCTTGCATAGTAGGCTGAGAAGTGCGTTCTGGCTACTAGGTACGACATATATATATATATATATATATATATATATATATATATATATATATATATATATATATATATATGTCGTACCTAGTAGCCAGAACTCACTTCTCAGCCTACTATTCAAGGCCCGATTTGCCTAATAAGCCAAGTTTTCCTGAATTAATATATTTACTATAATTTTTTTCTTATGAAATGATAAAGCTACCCTTTTCACTATGTATGAGGTCAATTTGTTTTTATTGGAGTTAAAATTAACGTAGATATATGACCGAACCTAACCAACCCTACCTAACCTAACCTAACCTATATATATAGGTAAGGTTAGGTTAGGTAGCCAAAAAAAGCTAGGTTAGGTTAGGTTAGGTAGGTTAGGTAGACGAAAAAACATTAATTCATGAAAACTTGGCTTATTAGGCAAATCGGGTCTTGCATAGTAGGCTGAGAAGTGAGTTCTGGCTCACTTCTAGTAGCCAGAACGCACTTCTCAGCCTACTATGCAAGGCCAAATTTGCCTCATAAGCCAAGTTTTCATGAATTAATTGTTTTTCGACTACCTAACCTACCTAACCTAACCTAACTTTTTCGGCTACCTAACCTATAAAGATAGGTTAGGTTAGGTTAGGTAGGGTTGGTTAGGTTCGGTCATATATCTACGTTAATTTTAACTCCAATAAAAAAAAATTGACCTCATACATAATGAAATGGGTAGCTTTATCATTTCATAAGAAAAAAATTAGAGAAAATATATTAATTCAGGAAAACTTGGCTTATTAGGCAAATTTGGCCTTGCATAGTAGGCTGAGAAGTGCGTTCTGGCTACTAGGTACGACATATATATATATATATATATATATATATATATATATATATATATATATATATATGTCGTACCTAGTAGCCAGAACTCACTTCTCAGCCTACTATTCAAGGCCCGATTTGCCTAATAAGCCAAGTTTTCCTGAATTAATATATTTACTATAATTTTTTTCTTTTGAAATGATAAAGCAACCCTTTTCTCTATGTATGAGGTCAATTTTTTTTTATTGGAGTTAAAATTAACGTAGATATATGACCGAACCTAACCAACCCTACCTAACCTAACCTAACCTATATTTATAGGTAAGGTTAGGTTAGGTAGCCAAAAAAAGCTAGGTTAGGTTAGGTTAGGTAGGTTAGGTAGACGAAAAAACATTAATTCATGAAAACTTGGCTTATTAGGCAAATCGGGCCTTGAATAGTAGGCTGAGAAGTGCGTTCTGGCTATTAGGTACGACATATATATATATATATATATATATATATGTCGTACCTAGTAGCCAGAACGCACTTCTCAGCCTACTATGCAAGGCCCGATTTGCCTAATAAGCCAAGTTTTCCTGAATTAATATATTTTCTCTAATTTTTTTCTTATGAAATGATAAAGCTTTCCATTCTGTATGAGGTCAATTTTTTTTATTGGAGTTAAAATTAACGTAGATATAGGACCGAACCTAACCAACCCTACCTAACCTAACCTAGCCTATCTTTATAGGTTAGGTTAGGTAGCCGAAAAAGTTAGGTTAGGTTGTCGAAAAACAATTAATTCATGAAAACTTGGCTTATTAGGCAAATCGGGCCTTGCATAGTAGGCTGAGAAGTGCGTTCTGGCTACTAGGTACGACATATATATATATATATATATATATATATATATATATATATATATATATATATATATATATATATGTCGTTAAATATGATCGCATTGTTGGCGTTGCTGATCTTATAGTATAAGCTTTTTATGCTATTTTTCTTACTCTTAGGATTAAGAGGAGCAATCAAATTAACGAAATTCATTGTAAAGAAACTAATGATTATTGAAGAGGAGGGAGAATAAAAGTCCACTAACAGGCTCACCATAGCCCGTGCTACTTGGAACTTTTTGTTCCAAGAAGCTAAAACAACAACACAACAGGGTTGTTGCACCATGACATGAGGGGGTAACTAGGGAGGGACAAAGGGGTAACTAGGGTGGGAGGGACAAAGGGGTTACTAGGGTGAAAGGGACAAAGGGGTTACTAGGGTGGAAGGGACAAAGGGGTTACTAGGGTGGGAGGGACAAAGGGGTAACTAGGGTGGGAGGGACAGAGGGGGTTACTAGGGTGGGAGGGACAAAAGTGAAGGGAAAGCTTACTAAATAAAAAAAAAATACCCAAAGCCTATCTACTTCCTCTGTGGACATCGGTCTTCCCTTTACCGCTATCAGAGAAAGTTCTTGTTAGCTTATCGTCTTTTTACAAAATCTAGGAAATGTAATTTCACTTACCTGCATGAGTCAATACCCATAGATCACTAGTAAAAGTACTCACAGGACACAATACTGGTTATAGTACTCACTCTTATCCACTTAACAAGCATGTTGGTTAACGTTTATATATGATTATTTATTTATCAAATTTCACAAAAGTTTCAATGTACAAATAAAGTTAAAGCTCTATTTGTATAGCACAATTTTGGTAACCCTTCATTTCTAAATATTTACACTTAAGTGACAGCATGATGAAGCATATTTGTTGTGTTTTGTACAATATTAACCTAATTTTTTCTAAGATTAGATTAGATTCCACTATAAGTAATGAATTAGGTATCATCCAATTCTTCAACAATGTTTACACATCTGGAGTACTCTTTACAACCGTACTCCTGCTTACTCCCAAACTTAATGCTTACTACTGGACGCAAAACAATGCATATATGTATTTCTTCAAAATAGAGATCAGCCACAATCAAGTTAGGTGAGTTGATGTTGATTCGTTTATTTGTATCAGGAAAAAGGCGCTTTACAATTTCCCATACATATCTGTGTATGTAGTAACTAGTTCACCATAAATGTACTGAATATATAATATTGATATTGATATAATATATATATTGCTAAGCTTAATGATCATTCGGGTTCCGTACTTGAACTTGTTACGTGACTAACCGTTCTGCCACTTACCCACCGGATGGGTATCCTAATAAACTAATGAAGCTAAACTCTGATAAATTGTGTATAGACAGTTAATGTATGTAGTAACAAACTCTGTAAGTTACAGCACTTATCAGTGCTGTAACTTGCTTAGCTAATTGAATTTTTCAGTTCAGTTCCACAGCCGATCATATTTATTTCTGGAACATTTTGTACTACTACTCATTGGAGTACTCTGGGTACAGTTACAGACCTCAAAGTATAGCTCTTAAGTATATCACAAAAGTGCTTGTATATTTATTTATTTATATATTTGCTGGGATTCTCCTATGTTGTTAAATTGTGCCTCAACCTAATTTTTGTGTAGTCACTCTAATTTTTGTAGAGGTATATAACTAACCTAGCCTAAGGCATTCATGTTTAAAAACAATTGAAACTGACAAACCTGGTTTGTACAAGATTTCTTAATTAACCAATCATTGGTTACTCGGTCGCTACATCATTCATGACTCGCCAAAATAAGTTTAACCAAAAATTTAAAACTCCCACTCTTATAGAGCCCAACCACTTGGGCTGGACGGTAGAGCGACGGTCTTGCTTCACCCAGTTCGGCGTTCAATCCCCGACCGTCCAAGTGGTTGGGCACCATTCCTTTCTCCTGTTCCATCCCAAACCTTGTACTGACCCTTTCCTAGTGCTATATAGTCGTAATGGCTTGGCACTTTCCCCTAATAGTTTTCTTCCCTCCCATCTGGAGTGAGCCCTTCAAGAGAAAAACAACTTTGTGGTTCCATACATGTACCATTTAACTCTTGTAAACATTTTATTCTCAGAAAGGCGTTACAGTGAATATCAACCAAGGTAAATGTTTCATGTCGTAAGTTTACATATTTACCCAAATTCATTTACTTGACAGCCATCATCTCTAGTGGCCTCGGCAGGGACAGTAAGCCAGTGCCTTATCAAAGATTCCCCCCCCCATCCCCTCTATATTTCTTGAAATTTTTGGCAGCCGAGTTTTAAACTGAAGTAATGTCTTGGCATATTTTAACTTCGGTGAGTTAAGCAGTATCTCCCATTTTCTGTCCTATATTGTGGCTTGTTGAGCTTGAAGTTGTTGGCCCTTGTATGTGTTACATCTGACCCCTTTTAAATAAGTGCTCTGGATTAATATCTAACAATTTTTTCAGAGTTTTAAGTCTCAATGAGATCAACCCTGTCACGCTTAGTTAATAGTACTGCACTGTTAGTCCTGGGATCCTCAGTCATTCCCTTTATAAGAGTTGACTTGGATCTGGGATGACTTTTGTTGATCTGAGGTATGCAGGCGATGGTCTGTTTTTTACTTTTGCTTGGGGGTGGACGATGGGTTAATATAAGCATGTACCAACATATTTCTGATAAGGCTACACTCCCTCAGCTTAAGCTACAGATTCTGCAACTCCTCTGATCAAATTTAATTGCACAGCATTAGAGTACACCAGAGAGAGAACATCTAAGAAATTTAAACTGATTAACCACTTCCAGTACTTCATGATTCAGATTTATTATATTGATATTATTGCATTGATAACCATAAGATATCCTGTTCGTTATCTTCTTTAACAGGGCATGATCCTCAGTGACCAGACAACCACACCTTCCACACCATCGCCAATCTATGATCCAAACATACCTGAAACTTGGATAAAAGTTTAAAAGATGCTGGAAAGTAAAAGATCTTACCTCAATGAGAAACCAAAGTGATCAATTCAGATTTTCAAATTTACATAAAATAGAACCAGTGAAGAGCAGACACGACTACTCTAGCAGACCCAGTTCGGGTCAGGTGCTTCTTCTTGGTTACAGTACTTATCTTCACCTTCCCTATAATGATCCCTTCTCTCTCTCTGAGCTTCAATCTGCCCTAGCCCTTTGTGGTTCTACGGCAGCGGGCTCCGATGGCATTCATTATGAAATGCTTCGCCATCTCTGTTCACGTCTCAGTATTTACTGAGTCTGTACAATCGGGTCTGGGAGTCGTCGTCAGTCCCTGAAGACTGGCTCGATGCTGTTGTCCTCCCTGTTCGGAAACCAGGGTCTCTCGGGTCATCCCCCAAGGACTTCCGCCCTATTGCCCTCACGAGTTGTGTCTGCGAGCTCTTTGAACGTATGGTTAACGTTCGTTTGATGTGGTTCTTAGAACACTATCACCACCTCTCCCCTTCTCAATTTGGTTTTCGCAAGCGCCGCAGCACAACGGATGTCCTGGTGAACTTGAGGTCTATATTCGTACTGCTTTTGCTGCGAAGACCTCCGTTGTTGCCGTCCTTTTTGACCTGGAAAATGCTTACGACACTACCTGGCGGTATCATATTCTGTCTCAACTTCATTCTTTTGGCCTTCGTGGGAACCTCCCTCTCTTCCTCTCTCGTCGTTCCTTTCGTGTGCGGCTTGGTACTGCTCTCTCTGCCCCTTTTCAGCAGTATGAGGGTGTACCCCAGGGTAGTGTTCTGAGCACTACTCTTTTTCTAGTTGCCCTCAACGGTCTTTTTTCCTCTATTCCTTCTGGCGTCTTCTCTGCTCTCTATGTTGATGATCTTACCCTTTGCTGTTGGGGTGATGATTCACCTCTCCTTCAACGGCGGCTTCAACTTGCGATTGATGCCGTATCGTCTTGGGCCACCGATCATGGCTTCAAGTTCTCTGCGTCTAAGACTTGTGCTATGACTTTTACTCGGAAGCATGTCGTTCTTCGTCCCTCTTTGTTGCTTTATGGTCATCTCATTGTGTACAGAGATTCCGCAAAGCTTTTGGGGTTAGTCTTTGACACTCGTTTGTCTTGGTCAGCCCATATCTCTTACCTCCGAGTTGAATGCTCTAAGGCCCTTAACCTCCTTAAGGTTTTGTCCCATACTTCTTGGGGAGCGGATAGGCGCACGCTCCTCTATTTGCACTCCTCTCTCGTCCTGTCTAAACTCAATTATGGTTGCCCTGCATACTCTTCTGCTTCTCCTTGTACTCTTCGCCATCTTGATGCTTTGCACCATACTGGGTTGTGTCTCAGCTCTGGTGCCTTTCGTTTGACTCTCGTCCTCAGTTTGTATGTTGACACTGGCATTCTCTCTCTTCAGGACCGCCGTGATCGCTACTGTCTTCGCTATCTTGCGCGGTCCTTTTAACATCCTTCCTCTCGTCTCTATCGTGCATTGACTTTTCCTCCTCCTATAGTTCCTGTTCCCCTTCATCGTCTCCCACTTTCTGTCCGGTTATCTCGCTTACAGGATTCTCTTTCTGTTCATATTTCTAATGTTTCTCCTCGTGTTTTTCCTTCCTTGCCTCCGTGGAGAGTCCCCCTTCCCAAGTTTTGTACGTCCTTGACTTGTATTACTAAAGCCTTTACCCCTCCTACAATTCTGAAATCCTTTTCCTTGAGCACTTTTCTTCGCACTCCCACTCTATTTCCATCTTCACCGATGGGTCTAAGTCTGCGGACGGTGTGGTCTACTCTGTTGTTTTTCCTGACCGTACTTATATGTGTCGCCTCCCTTCGGAGGCTAGCGTCTTTACGGCAGAACTTTATGCTATTCTCTATGCTCTTCGTCTCTTGCTTTCTCATTCTCATTCCTCCTTTGTGGTTGTAGTTGACTCTCGTAGTGCCCTCATGGCTCTAGGGTCCTTTAATCCTGTCCATCCGGTGGTTATCGAGATTCAACATTGGCTGTTTCTTATTTCTAGTAAATTTAAATCAGTAGAATTTTGCTGGGTTCCCAGCCATATTGGTGTTTCTTTCAATGAGTGTGCGGATGCTGCCGCTAAGGAAGCTATCCGTTCTTGTCCCATCTCCCGTAAAAGTATTCCTTGTTCAGACTTTTATCCTGTTATTCATTCCTCCATCCTTGCCCATTGGCAGGGTTGTTGGTCCTCTGTGGTTAGTAACAAGCTGCGTACTCTCAAACGTAGTGTGTCCCCGTGGCCTTCCTCCTACCACTGTAACCGGCGGTGGGAAACTGCTTTGGCACGGCTGCGGGTTGGCCATACTCGCTTAACCCACGGTCACTTACTGGAGCGCCGCCCTGCTTCTTATTGTCTGAATTGCGTTGTCCCTCTTACAGTTGTGCATATCCTTGTTGAATGTCCTGACTTCCAGGACGAGCGTGTGTCTTGCTTTCCGACCGTCCCTCGCGGTCACTTGTCCCTCGATAGAATTCTAGGTGAATCAGATACTTTTGATATCGTTCGCCTTATGCGTTTTTGTTCTCGTATTGGCATTCTTGGTGATATTTAGCGCCCTCTGATTATTTCGCACTTTGATGGTGCTACATAGCCTTCCCGGTTTGGTGCCTTCTTTTGATAATTACCTTACCTTACCTTCTCCAATCAGCAAATAAATATGCTGGACCCGGCTAGTATTTTTATTAGAACTTCTTGGAAAAAAAATTTTTGTAGTTAAAATGGCAGGTCAGTTGGTCTTATATACAGTATAATGACCTATATACAATGGTGGAAATAGGAATAAATTACCGGGAGAACGCACACTAAAAAATACCAAAGGTCATGGGGTACTCGGCCACATTTTATTTATGGGATGAATATATAGAGTAGCCATGTCAGCAAGAGGCCCTTGCCATTGCTGCGAGATTTTACAGCATATTGTATTTGATGACTTTTCTTGTAATTTATTAGTTATTAAGAAAATTATAGATATATATAACCATCTACTAGACCATGTAGAATTTCTGGTCAACGACAACTTTCTGCAGAAAAACAGTCATAAATAATACTGCAATAAAAGATACATACAGCATTGTGTAAATGTAAGCTTAGAGCTATTAAGAGTGCCCTAGTCTGCTATCCTAAGGAAGAGACCACACTGTGTGTTAAGTTCTTCTTATGCTCTCTTTCCTTGCAAGCTGTGTGTTCTACAATACTCCTTCCCTGTAGCACCCAAGCTAGCAAGCTCAGCTATGAATCGTTCTTCAAGTGATGTGAGAAATCTTTTAGATGTCAGTGCTATCTAGCGAGACGAATCCTCGATTACTTAAAAAATGCATTTGGGTTCAAATTTTCACTACATCCATGGAATCTGAATGGTTCTGCCAATTTCCACAACTGTCTATACTGTACATAAAAAACAGCTGAATATTTTAGTCACCCATTGCAACAAAACTGTACAATATTGTGACCTTAAATTTTTCATAGAAAACAGGTATAAATTTATACCTGTAGTTACAAGAAGAAATAAGATCAAGCAGCTAAAAGTATAGTAATTTATTACTCACATATTTGTAACCATACATTAAGAGTTACAAATATTGAAGGAAGTCCAGACAGAAGACAGATTAACAGGAAATGTTGCCTGCACTTTATACAACTAAACGAAACATTCGTACTCTTGAGTTGTGCTTAACTTCACATTTGTGACCTAGAGTGCAAGTTAAAATTTTGAGACCTTGACAATTTTCACACAGGCAGTCTACCTACTTTTAACAAATAAAGTAACTGTTTTCTGTAATGTTATTTACTAATTACAGAAATTTTCAATATATCTGATATGGATATTAACAAAACAAAAATTACTTTACAAGTTATTGAATTTGCTCTAACATTTTTTTTCAGTTACACTGCTTTTTGTTGCAGACAATATATGTGCCTCAGTTAAAGATAAAACTACACACCCATACAATGATATACACAATACTGTACCAGAATATTCTTTTTTCCAACTCAAAAGTTACAAATTATAATTATTTATTAAAACTTTGGAATAACCTGAGTGGTATTTCAACCCACTAGCATAAGGACATCATGTTGTCGAACAGTGTTATCTTAATCCACCAGAACGTTAATGAGATTAACTACAGTAATACTTCATCCATGGAATCTTGGGCAATCTATGCCCATCCTGGGCAACATAATATCACTGGGATAGCAAGTTTAAAATCCACTTGGGGGGTTATTCCAAAATTTCTCTTACATGGATGTGTGTGTGTGTATATACATATACTGTAAGAACTAAACAAATATTACATTGTGTGTGTATGTATGTGTGTGTGTGTATATATAGACATAATATATATATACACACACACACAATGGTAAAACAGTATAGAGAAAAGTTTATACTACAAGAATTTAAAAGGTTTATAAAAAGAGTACTGGATACATTCATCACATGGTATACATGTATATTCATTGTACTTTAGTGATGTTCTTTTATCTACTGAGTCCATCTCTTGATATGGCATTATCAACAATGGAGAGAACTATATCTTCCACTGAAATACAAATTAGACACATTATCTGTGATTCCGAGTTGAATGACTTTCTCTTTACATATCTCTTTATTTTCTTTTTAGTGTATCACATACTCTGTCACATGTGTAGCTCAAAAATCACCCTCAAGAAATATCATAACTTCACCAACTCCTGCATCATATATACACCAACTTAAATCACAGAAATGTATTTAGTTTTGAATTCTGATATATTTTACACATAAATAAATTAATAAAAAAAAAAGACTCACATTCACAGATCTTGCCTCTCATTCTACAGCAGTTTTTTCAAACATAACTACTGTACTTATAGATATCATAACAAAGGGTGAGAAGTACATATGAAAGACATAATCATTATGGCAAACAGAATGCTGCCTTTAATTTGTTGAACGAAAAGTGTGAAGGAATATCAAAATATCTTGTGAGAATGAAATACAGTACATATGTACGTAGATATAACTGCATGAATAACTACAAATTTCGAAATAATAAAACATAGGTGCCTGGAGTGTAAATAAACTCTACTAAGTATTCGCTAATATTGAACTACTGGAAGTAAGAGCGCTGACACCTACCGAACGCCGTACGTAAATTGGATAACATTATCAACGCATGCTGTTCTGTTTGGCAAAGCAGTACTCTTTATTGCTGATGTGGTCTTGGATTTTGTGGCAACCCGATGCAGGATTCTGACTTCCCTACATTTTAACTTACATGGAAGAAATGATTAATTCGCATTACTTAAGTAAACTCTTAGCTTACTGAATAATTTGGAATAAATAGAGTAAATCATATTTTTATGTATACCTAGGAGCCAAATATACAATTAAATTGTTACAGTCAATGTATTAAGTATAAGTAATCATAAGTTTCAGATAAGTGATAAGGTAACAGGTGCTCCTTGTATTTTACTTAACTCAAATGAACATTGTCCAAATATGAGCTTAAATATTCTGTGAAAAGAACAATAAAGATAATGTCTGTCAGCCACTGTAATAAATTGTGTGTGAAGCATGTATAAAAATTAACAGCATTATCACAATATCTTAAATGAAAACTGGGATATATGATAGGCCTGGCAGTTCATCATTCCTTCTTGTTTTTCAGTATGAGAGTAATTTCCATCATACTTGATAGAAATATATAGTTTGAAGGGTTTTAGAGGCCTGTAATATATTCCAGAATTGTATGCTACATTCACTACAAATATTAAGGTACAAAGCAAATTAAGACAATCATCTAATGCTTTACATTTTGTACAAACATTACTATGAGGGATAATTCATCTGGTTATATAAATGGAACGTTGCTTACTTATTATACCATTTAACTGGACTGTTTCAAAAGCAGGAATATCACTACCTAACAGGCTTTCTAAGTTTGCCATTATGGCTCATGTATCATATGAGGCCAGGCAAACTGACATACTCTGAATGAGTAGGAGAGGCAGATATATACAAAACAGTGTTCAACAACAGCACTACAACATAAAAGGACTTTCACAGGCACACTAAGGTACCATCTTCATGTGGGAGGTCGGTGCAATACTGTACTACAGTCAACTGAAACAAGCCACAACTAAGGACACTAGAAAGTTTCTGATACCAAATGCTCTACACAGAAAAATCCTTCACTGTATGGGACTTTAAGCTTTTATAAGAAACTGCCAAACATGACTGCATTCCTGTACAATCTGCAATCCAAAGTTCTGGCAAAAAACAATTTGAGGCTGTTTTACACTGCCCAACCCTAATCCCACATATTGTACAATATATCTACACTCTACTGTGCTTGTAATTTTCATACAATGACAATGAGTTAGCATAATGAGAAATATATATACCTTGTGAATATGTATTTTGGGAATGTTTAAAGCAAACATATATGTCTACTAGACAACAAGTTTTCAGGGTTTTCAATTTTGTCTAATGCATTTTTAGTGGAAATCTATTCTTAATATTGGAATCATAATCAAAAGCATCATCAATCATTTCTGCTTGTTTATCGGTACCATCAGTATATTTACACAACAGCACTATAGATACTGAATGTGATTCTTGACTGTCATTAGAGCCATAGTAGTGTTCACATTTACATTTTCATCACACTGTTTCACAAACACAGAATATGACCGATGCAGTTCTAAAGCACTCTGATTCACTATAAAAAGTGAAGACTCACTTTTAGTGTCTAAGAACTGCTCCAGTGAGAATATTTCACTTCCACCAGGATTCAGCATGACATTAATTTATATTTGGCACAGTCTGCTGGCATTTTGTAATTTGTTTTTTTACCAAGGATGACAAATCACAATAACATAAATTTCTCTTCTTATCAAACTCGACCATAAGTGAGAGCAGGTGAATATGACTCGTCTCTACCGCAGCACCACCGCCATACATGAGGCCTTGAGCCATTTCCTGGAAATCATCATCTTCCACTTTTTTCTTCTTTTGCTGATGAAGTGCGGCACGCTAGAGTTGAATTCCGAGTTTCTTGAGACGTATCCATGAGAGTTTAAGGGATATGTAGCATGTGTATTGATGATATTATATAAAATTAATAAAATGAGCATAAAGTTATTACAGAATCAGGTTATAGTGAGAAAATTTTAAGAATCATGGACAGGTAACTATGTAATCAGACTGTTGAAGATGAATGTACCTAAGGGAGTACAGTATTTGAATATGTAAAAATACTGATAATTCCAGAGTAAGACTATGAAGATATAAAAAAATAAAGTGTCTTAATTATAGTGCTGGAAATAGTTTGAACTTGCTGAAAACTCTTCATGAATATTACAGATAAAAATAGGATTATTAAATGTCACTGAAGATAATTATTTGTGGGGAAGAATACAAGAAAGAATGCTAAAGCTGCAATGAAGTGTCGCCTCTTCAGGGGCACTCAAAGGCCACAAATACTTAAAGCCTTGTATAGATTGACAAAATCGTGATGCGTTTGGATCCTCCAGAATGGAAAATCGAGCTGTAAAGGAAAAAAATATCAGCATTAGAAAATATGAGTGTCTTGCAAATTAAAAATATAATATACAGTACACCAATGTATTAATAACTTGTAAAGCAACACTTTGTTTTATGGATAAACAGTAGACCCTTGATCAGCATGAACTAATACATATTAATATGAATATGTTAGATATTAAGTCACTGCACATCCTCTCTTGTGTACTCTATACATTTAAAACTTGTAATGTCACTCCTGACCTTCAACGCTTCCAAGAAGGTTGTAACAGAACTCATGGGCACCACACCAGAAACAAATACCTATTTGATATTCCAAGAGTACGACTTAATCAAACTAGGAATGCTCTACAAATTAAGGGACCCAGAATGTGGAATGACCTTCGCAATCATGTCAAAGATTGTACCTCTCTCAATCAGTTTAAGATGAAAACTAAGTACTACCTAATTAACTCCATGTAGCCTACCTTACTTCTAATGTCAACCCATGTCTTACTATTATTAAAAAAAAAAAAATGCTGTTTGTTGACCAACTTGTATATTGGCTATTTTCTACCATGTTCTCCCTTTTTTTTATCTTTTATTATTTTTTTCTTTCAATGCAATTTATACTTTAAGCTCAATTACTACTAAGTTTTAGTCTAAGTGTTTTTTCCCCACCTCACCTTGCCCGAAATGCTATGCGTACTAGTGGCTTAGTGGCTTTAGGTATTGTATGTACTACCTCTATCCTTAAATCAAACAGAATGTTTGTACTGTAACTCTGCAACTATGTATGTACTTTTCCTAAATAAATTATTATTATTATTATTATTATTATTATTATTATTATTATTATATGCATTGTGCAATGTATGACAATGTTCTTTATAATAAGTGTTCCCTAGTTACACATTTTGGAGTCACAGTATTTTCAGGCATAAGAACACCTACTTAAAATACTGAGCAAATTGGAGGAAATTAATGCAGACCACTTCTTTAAAAGGTCACATGTAACACACCCAAGGGGCAACAGCTTCAAGCTAACAAACCACAATGTAGGACAGAAAACGGAAGATGCTTTTTCACCCATAGTGTTATAAACCCACAGGACCTCCTACCCATTGTAGCTGTAAATGCCAAGATATTACTGCAGTTCAAAATCCAGTTGGAAAAAATTCTCAGGTAAAATGAGGGAGACCTCTGACAAGCCACCAGCTTCCTGACCCTGCTGTGGCCACTAAATAGATGGTCACCCTCAGGTAAATTCAAGTATAAATTATATTATGTATAATATATATATTATGTATATATATATATGTATATATATGTATTATGTATATTATATTATATTATGTATTATATTATGTATATATATATATTATGTATATATATATAATATATATTATGCATAATAAGCTACAAATGTCCTAATACCAATGTTACTTTAATGTGTCAATAGTGCTTGTGTACTTAAAACAATATCAGTACTGTATTTGATATCCATGTCTTAATATGATTTTTTGGTGTATGTAAATATATATATAACAAAAAATACTCTTTGAGTGCACCCAATATCAATGTATGCCAGTAATAATACCATGTAATCCCTTAAAACCAAGTCTGGTGCCCTTGAGGAGATACCAACTTTAATCTACAAAAAAGCCTCCAGATCTTTAGCCCCTGCTATTGCTTTGCTCTTCAACAAGTCACTTGAACTCCAAACCTTTCCAGATATTCTAAAAAAAGCGAGAGTAACGCCTGTCCACAAATGTGGTGATCTCACAGATGTTAACAACTACAGACCTATATCAATCCTGCCAAACTTGTCAAAAATTTTTGAAAAACTAATCTATAAGCAGCTTTACTCATATCTAGCCAAACTCAATATACTTAGCCCTTGCCAATATGGCTTCAGGCCCAAAAAAAGCACTAACGATGCACTTATTAGTATGCTTAACTCGATTCATACAGCTCTTGATAAAAATGAGTTCCCTGTTGGGTTATTTGTGGACCTGCGTAAAGCTTTCGATACTGTCAACCACCAAAACCTTCTTCTTAAATTGCATCATTATGGTGTCAGAGGACACTCCGTACAATACCTCAAATCCTACCTTACTGACAGGCTCCAATGTGTTTCTGTGAATAATATAATTTCTCCCACCCTACCCATCAACATTGGTGTTCCCCAGGGCAGCATACTTGGCCCTCTCCTCTTTCTCATCTACATTAATGACCTTCCAAATGCCTCCCAACACCTCAAACCAATTCTATTTGCTGACGACACAACCTTCATTTACTCCAGTCCTGATCCCCTTGCTCTAAATGCCACAGTAAATACTGAGCTTAATAAAGTCCATCTGTGGCTAACTGCCAACAAACTCACCCTTAACATTGACAAAACTTTCTATATTCTGTTTGGCAATAAATCCTCTAATCAAATAAATCTCAAAATAAACAATACTCAAATTTGTAACAAATTAGATGGCAAATTCCTTGGCATTCTCATTGACCACAAGCTGAATTTCCAGGGACACATTCTAAACATATCAAAAAAAGTTTCAAAAACTGTGGGCATTCTTTCTAAGATCAGATATTATGTACCACGCCCTGCCCTGGTGACTCTCTATTACTCCCTTATCTATCCATATCTCAACTATGGTATTTGTGCTTGGGGCTCTACTACCCAAAATCACTTACGTCCTCTAATTACTCAACACAAAGCTGCTATTAGGACAATATCCAATTCTGGCCCCAGACATCACTCGGTACCCCTACTCAAATCTCTGAATATGTTAGACATTAAGTCACTGCACATTCTCTCATGTGTATTATACATATATAAAACGCTAAACTATAATGCCAATCCTGATCTCAAAAGCTTCATAGAAGGTTGTAACAGAACCCATGAGCACCACACCAGAAATAAATACAGTTTTGATATTCCTAGAGTACGACTTAATCAAACCAGAAATGCTCTACAAATCAAGGGGCCCAGAATGTGGAATGACCTTCCCAACCATGTTAAAGACTGTACCTCTCTCAACCAGTTTAAGTTAAAAACGAAGCTATACCTAATAAATTCCCTGTAACCCACCTTACCCCTCTGTTGTCAACCCATGTATGTTTTTTGTTTTTTTTTTTGTTTTTCAAATCAACGCTGTTTGAATGTAATTTTCTGTAATAATTTGTAATTGTATTTGTGCTGCTTTTTCAACAATGTTCCCCCCTCTTTTACCTCTATTTTTATTTGTACTCAACACACCTTATTCTTTTTACCCATTAGTTTTAAGCTTTAGTCATTAATGTTTTTCCTGCCCGAAACGCTTTGCATAATAGTGGCTTTAGGCATTGTATGTACTAGCTCTATCTTTAAAGCCAACAAACTTTGTAAAATCTCTTTATGTATGTACATTACCTAAATAAAAATTATTATTATTATTATTATTATGTATTCCACCCCTTGTATGTATAATTATCATCTCTATGTATGAACCACTGTTTCTGTACAACATATGAATGTTATTTTTATTACAGTATTACTATTATTACCCTATTGTTATACAGGGAGCCGGTGGCTGAGTGGACAGAACACTGGATGCGTGATCCTGTGGTCCCAGGTTCGATCCCGGGCGCCGGTGAGAAACAATGGCCAGAGTTTCTTTCACCCTGATGCTCCTGTTACCTAGCAGTAAATAGGTACCTGGGAGTTAGTCAGCTGTCACGGGCTGCTTCCTGGGGGTGAAGGCCTGGTTGAGGACCGGGCCGCGGGGACACTAAGCCCCGAAATCATCTCAAGATAACCTCAAGATACACAGAAAATGGAATGATAATAAGCAACCTCCATCCAGCAACTATAATTATTAAAATCTAAACAACAAACAGAAAAATAATATTAAAACTGACTTGTTTGGCAGCCATCTCCTCATCTCTCCCGTCTCCAACGACAACATACACAGGTTTTCTTCCAAACCGTGAAGCAATTCTTTCAAAGCAACTCTCTTTACCTATTTAGGAATTAAAAACAAAACATACATTAATATCAATGCTGACATGACAATAATACGTGAATAATTATGAAGTATACAAATATTATCTGCACTCAAAATATAAGTAGAATACTTGGATTTATATGTTTAACAAGATATGGTTTGATCACATGAGTGATTGAGAAACAGACTAGCTTGAGGTTGGTACATAGTACACAATATCAGCACAGGGTGCAATGAGGGTACAGTGTGATACAATGCACACACACACACGGGGAATAATAAGTTCATGAAAGTATTGAGTACAGGCTGTTGCAATAAGTATAGGCAGCTGCAATGAGTACAAGTATAATTAGTACAAACTGCAGGAAGTGAAGGGGGAAGAGGAAGAAAAGAAGGAAAAGGAAGGAGATAGATCAAACAGGCTTGACTTGAAATGGTATGAAGTATGGTACGGAATGGTATGAAGCTCCCAAGAACGAAGCCATTTGTCCAGACCTGCCGTTCCTCTTGTACTGAGCAGGACTACTGTCACAATGACACAGTTTAACAGTGGGGTAAAACCTGTCTCATGACAGTCTAATCCCAGCTCACATTCCCTATTGGTGGGTGAACAATCCCATGTTTGGTGAATTCTGCTTCACAATGATAGGAAGAGCCAACATCGAAGGATTAAAAAGTGACGTCGCTATGAACGCTTGGTTGCCTTGTTGGCTAGCTTTGGATTTACGATGTTCATACTGTACAGTGTTCCTTGATTGTAACTATGGCACCTCTACTCATCTTTGCATCTATTCTACATTTCCTTCCATATCTTTCACTCCAATATGTTGTTACGGTACTTTACTGTGCAAATTTGGGACTTGGCCTTCCAGTATAGACAGAACTCTATCAACATCAAAGGCCCAAGACTTTTCAACATGCTCCCACTAGCTATGCAAACAGAGTGGTATACAGTTGCAACAAGTTCAGTGAGCAGGTGGTGGATGCCAAAACCATCATTAGTTTCAAAGCGTCATATTTGGAAAATGGGACACCATGAGCATAGCTCTTATTCTGTAACAACACTTAGGTAATTACATTTAGGTAATTACACATAAGGGGCATAACTGGCCGGCCTCTCACGGTGTTCAGAACAGAAGTCATTAAATACTTTCAAAGGATACCTGATCGACCAGATTGTGATTCATAAATCATGCTGTGAGCAGCTGCTTCCAACAGTCTGGTTGACCAGACCACCAACCAGGAGGCCTGGTCAGAGACCGCAACCCGGGGCTGTTGATTCTCGGAATCACAACAAGGTAAACTCTCTCATCTCTCTAGAGAGAACATATTGAGACCTTTGAGATGGTCTCAATAGTTTCGGTGCTTTATTGTGTGATGCATTCCATACATGTTCTCTGTATTCCCTCCACTTCATAAATCTCTCTTACTTTGAAAAGGGAAGTGAGTACTCTAGGTGGAAAAGCACAAGTGATACAAGAAGTAGGAACACTACAGTGGTATCCCTAGATTGGAAGGTTCTCATAATTCATCCTATCATTTTCCTGGCTGACACTATATTTGCTTTGTTATGCTCACTAAACATTTGGGCACCTGACAGCATTGTTCCCAGATCCTTTACATGATGTTTTCCTTCTATGAGTAGATTGTGTCTTGACTGGACTCTGTATTTTTTGTTTATAAATGATTGTTTCTGGTTTCAAATCAATACAGTTCAATGTATCCCTACTGAGGATACTTAATGATTATTTTGCCAAATAACACATTTGTGTGTAGAAAAGATTTGCTCAAACATTGTGTACTGATGGCAGACTCAGGGCAGGAGCCCATATAGTGCACACAATATAAGCAAAACATAAAAAAATAATATATAGCTCTCAGTCCCAATTGCTAAACATACCAACTTTAGTTGCAGAGTAGATATTTTCTATGGGGAAGACAGACCCCAGTCCATAGAGCAGGACCTTGGCAAGGGCAGGCACCAGCTGCGTAGTGGTCACCAGGACATTCACACAGTTGGGTCTGGAGGCGATAAGCTGCAAGCATTTCATGGATTCCGTCAACCAACTGTCAGTCAGCGTCTCGATATCTTGTCGGACTCGGTGCCATTTTTCTCTGTTCTCGGGATCCAGCAGGCCTTTGGAGAAATACTTTTTATTTATTTTGAATTCTTGAGATATTAACTTCTAAAGGAAAAATTGAAGACAATTAAACCTATATTCATATGAATATTGTATACTGTGTACTGTACTATGATTTGTGTGCGCATGAATAGTTTATTGTACTGTATACAGTACTGTATACTGTATACAGTACGTGTATATTACACAAATAAAGTATATCTTGAATAATGTAAAAAAAAGGGGGCAAATAACGGAGCAGACAAAATTAGCTAAAAAGTTACGTAAACATTGATAAGAAATAACATTCATTGCTATTTTGTAATCAACTAATTCACTTTCTTGAGAGTTTGACTATCATTTAATTAATAGCCTTATCCCGAGTATAACACATAATAATTTCAACATTGCTATGAAACATGAGATATAACTAATGAAAAATAATTAAAACGAACAGAAAAATAAAAATATTTACTTTAATTTAAAGCATGGTTCACGGGCACACAATACCTTTATTAACTATACCTATATTATTAACTCAATTAATCTGTAATGAGAAAGGTTAACTTCAGAATATCTTGAATATGTTTTGAGATTAATTACACTGTTAATGTAGAGTGAATCTTAAGTGACGAATACTATTACAGTATATTATGTACTTAATTATCCAGTAGCAAGCTCCTAGAGTTCTCTAAGAGGTTATTTGAAAATCTTGCCAATGTCCTCAACTGCATGAATTTTTCATATAAGAGACATCAATTGGGCACTTAAATTACAATATGTATACAGACAGTATATAAACCCCCTATCTGTCTTGATTATTTGATTAAATATTTATCAATTCAATTGTGTATTCCATTCTCACTTTAAAATGGAACATTAGTAAACATTACAAATCAAAGGTTTCCCTAAATATGTACTGTACTGTACATATTTTTTAATTCATTAATGATATTGCACTTACTTCCAGAATTATTCCTGCAGCTGTTAAATAACTCCTTGATTTTGCGATATCTGAACGCCAGCTTCCTCATCCAATCGACTCCTCCACGGACCCCAGTGCCTAGACACAGCGACGCGTTACTGTTGGCTGCACTGAACCCGTCAGTGGCAAAGTTGTAATTGCTGAAACAAAATTGAACAGTTGAATGACAATTGAAAAAGTAAAAGAATTTGTAGCATGAAGCTAAAAAATGGTAAATTATTGCAAAGAAAGAAATACTTAATATTAATGTTTCTTCTTGTTTTATTATTACTGAACACTTATTTAATCAACAATTATTGAGTCTGAAATAATAAATTAGTTTGCAAAGCAGCAAAGGTTGGACATTTACTTACACCATTAAATATGCAATTGGCTGAGTGATGGGAATGATTATACAAATATTACTGCATCCTCAATATTCTTATAATGTTTTGAATCTTGAAAATTGTATTTTCGCTGGGGAGAAAAGCCACTTGAGAATTTTATTTTCACTATGAGAAATGATTCCTTAACAGGCATGAAACAATTACAAAAACTAATGACATAATACATAGTTTGGAAATTACAATGATCAAAAGTATGACTGGATAAGGAAATGTGGTTTAGATATTTAAACATTTTACACAAACTTATATACTGTATATATATATATATATATGTCGTACCTAGTAGCCAGAACTCACTTCTCAGCCTACTATTCAAGGCCCGATTTGCCTAATAAGCCAAGTTTTCCTGAATTAATATATTTACAATAATTTTTTTCCTATGAAATGATAAAGCAACCCTTTTCTCTATGTATGAGGTCAATTTTTTTTTATTGGAGTTAAAATTAATGTAGATATATGACCGAACCTAACCAACCCTACCTAACCTAACCTAACCTATATTTATAGGTAAGGTTAGGTTAGGTAGCCAAAAAAAGCTAGGTTAGGTTAGGTTAGGTAGGTTAGGTAGACGAAAAAACATTAATTCATGAAAACTTGGCTTATTAGGCAAATCGGGCCTTGAATAGTAGGCTGAGAAGTGCGTTCTGGCTATTAGGTACGACATATATATATATATATATATATATATATATATATATGTCGTACCTAATAGCCAGAACGCACTTCTCAGCCTACTATTCAAGGCCCGATTTGCCTAATAAGCCAAGTTTTCATGAATTAATGTTTTTTCGTCTACCTAACCTACCTAACCTAACCTAACCTAGCTTTTTTTGGCTACCTAACCTAACCTTACCTATAAATATAGGTTAGGTTAGGTTAGGTAGGGTTGGTTAGGTTCGGTCATATATCTACGTTAATTTTAACTCCAATAAAAAAAAATTGACCTCATACATAGAGAAAAGGGTTGCTTTATCATTTCATAAGAAAAAAATTATAGTAAATATATTAATTCAGGAAAACTTGGCTTATTAGGCAAATCGGGCCTTGAATAGTAGGCTGAGAAGTGAGTTCTGGCTACTAGGTACGACATATACATATATATATATATATATATATATATATATATATATATATATATATATATATATATATATATATATATATATATATATATATATATATATATATATATATATATATATATATATGTATATGTCGTACCTAATAGCCAGAACGCACTTCTCAGCCTACTATTCAAGGCCCGATTTGCCTAATAAGCCAAGTTTTCATGAATTAATGTTTTTTCGTCTACCTAACCTACCTAACCTAACCTAACCTAGCTTTTTTTGGCTACCTAACCTAACCTTACCTATAAATATAGGTTAGGTTAGGTTAGGTAGGGTTGGTTAGGTTCGGTCATATATCTACGTTAATTTTAACTCCAATAAAAAAAAATTGACCTCATACATAGAGAAAAGGGTTGCTTTATCATTTCATGAGAAAAAAATTATAGTAAATATATTAATTCAGGAAAACTTGGCTTATTAGGCAAATCGGGCCTTGAATAGTAGGCTGAGAAGTGAGTTCTGGCTACTAGGTACGACATATATATATATATATATATACATATATATATATATATATATATATATATATATATGTATGTCGTACCTAGTAGCCAGAACGCACTTCTCAGCCTACTATGCAAGGCCCGATTTGCCTAATAAGCCAAGTTTTCATGAATTAATTGTTTTTCGACTACCTAACCTACCTAACCTAACCTAACCTAACTTTTTCGGCTACCTAACCAAACCTAACCTATAAAGATAGGTTAGGTTAGGTTAGGTAGGGTTGGTTAGGTTCGGTCATATATCTACGTTAATTTTAACTCCAATAAAAAAAAATTGACCTCATACATAACGAAATGGGTAGCTTTATCATTTCATAAGAAAAAAATTAGAGAAAATATATTAATTCAGGAAAACTTGGCTTATTAGGCAAATCGGGCCTTGAATAGTAGGCCAAAAAGTGAGTTCTGGCTACTAGGTACGACATATATATATATATATATATATATATATGTCGTACCTAATAGCCAGAACGCACTTCTCAGCCTACTATTCAAGGCCCGATTTGCCTAATAAGCCAAGTTTTCATGAATTAATGTTTTTTCGTCTACCTAACCTACCTAACCTAACCTAACCTAGCTTTTTTTGGCTACCTAACCTAACCTTACCTATAAATATAGGTTAGGTTAGGTTAGGTAGGGTTGGTTAGGTTCGGTCATATATCTACGTTAATTTTAACTCCAATAAAAAAAAATTGACCTCATACATAGAGAAAAGGGTTGCTTTATCATTTCATAAGAAAAAAATTATAGTAAATATATTAATTCAGGAATACTTGGCTTATTAGGCAAATCGGGCCTTGAATAGTAGGCTGAGAAGTGAGTTCTGGCTACTAGGTACGACATATATATATATATATATATATATATATATATATATATATATATATATATATATATATATATATATATATATTTAGTTTTATTATGTGTTTTATTATGCTAGTTTCTCTGCAGATTACTATTTATTCATATCCTTATTCTTCTGGTCTATAGCCTAGAATGCTTATATAGTAGCCGGTGGCTGAGCGGACAGAACACTGGACGCGTGATCCTGTGGTTTCGGGTTCGATCCCGGGTACCAGCGAGAAACAATGGGCAGAGATTCTTTCACCCAGATGCCCCTGTTACCTAGCAGTAAATAGGTACCTGGGAGTTAGTCAGCTGTCATGGGCTGCTTCCTGAGGGTGGAGGCCTGGTCGAGGACCAGGCTGCGGGGACACTAAGCCCCGAAATCATCTCAAGATAACCTCATCAAGATAGTAGTTTTATGTAGAATATGATGTCTAATTCTTGGATTAAACATCATATTTTTTGTTAATTCTGCATCAATCCATTATTTATGAGAATTTAAGTATGTTCTTTATGTATGAATCTTAAGTATGTAAGTAATTTACAGTATGATTTGTAGCTCAACTTTTAAAGTATGATGTCCTTGGGGGCAAACTCTTACAGTATGATGTGCTGAGGACAAACTCTTACAGTATAATGTGCTTGGGAACAAACTCTTACAGTGTGATGTGCTGAGGACAAACTCTTACAGTATGATGAGCTTGGGACAAACTCTTACAGTATGATGTGTTTGGGGGCAAACTCTTATAGTATGATGTGCTTGGAGGGACAAACTCTTACAGTATGATGTGGTTGGAGGGACAAACTCTTACAGTATGATGTGCTTGGGGGACAAACTCTTACAGTATGATGTGCTTGGGGGACAAACTCTTACAGTATGATGTGTCTGAGGACAAACTCTTACAGTATGATGTGTCTGAGGACAAACTCTTACAGTATGATGTGCTTGGGGGTAATCTCTTACAGTATGATGTGCTTGGGGGACAAACTCTTACAGTATGCTGTGCTTGGGGGACAAACTCTTACAGTATGATGTGCTCAGGGACAAACTCTTACAGTACGATGTGCTTGGGGGCAAACTCTTACAGTATGATGTATTTTGGGGGTAATCTCTTACAGTAAAATGTGTTTGGGTGTAACTCGTATACAGTAATATGATGCGCTTAAAAGGTTAATATCTTACAGAGATGCTTTAATTCTCACCTTAAATCTTGGCCATTATCGTCAGATGAGACATCGTCTATATGAACTTGGTCACACTCCTACAGGCGGGAAGAAAAGTTGTTTTAAAAAGACAAAGTTTACAGCCTAAGGTAAAAGTTTAACCTTTTACAAACTTTGCCTTTGTAAAAGACAAAGTTTACAGCTTCAAATACCATATACTGAAGCAAATTAGATTTTGCAATATCAATAATGTGCGGAATTGCCTTTTAGAATACTCTTTTTCATAAATGCTGCATTAACAAAGTAGTTAGTATTTAGGGATATTAGTGGCGAGTAAGGCTCGTTTATCAATAAGAATTTATAAAAATCTCTTAAAGGTACGAAACTTTGTTGAATGCAAATATAAATACTGTAGGTAATTGGCTAGATACTGTAATTGTTAATCATTTACAAACAACTAGTGTAATTGTTTACCAAAATATATTATCATGTAGGGGATTTTAGAAGCAAGTATTACAGCTGTTGTCAGCTGAAATTACCCCCTCACCCATCATTATATATAACCAATTTCACCCCTGAAAAAGGTTAAAAAAGTTACAGCCTCGCTCCTGTGCCAAGTAAGTCCACAACGGGCTCACCATAGCCCGTGCTACTTGGAATTTTTTGTTCCAAGTAGCGAATTTTAAACAACAACTGAAAAAGGTTAACTTAATAGTGCTCACAAGCAGGTAGTAACTTACTTCTAAATCGTTGAAGAAGAAGTGCGTGTCTGCTAGGTCAAAGATCAGCTTCTCCATGTGGTAGCCAAGTTGAACGGCATTTGCTGTGTCCTGAAACAAGAACAACGTGAAAACAGTTGGTTTTAGCAAGTGATGTCTTGCAAGTGTGGGCCTGCGGGCCGCTCCAAGCAACAGCCTGGTGGACCAAACTCTTACAAGTCAAGCCTGGCCTCGGGCCGGGCTTGGGGAGTAGAAGAACTCCCAGAACCCCATCAACCAGGTATCAACCAGGTAAGTGTTTTAGCAAGTATTTCGTCCTATGCGAAATACCAGCCTATGGAAGACATTATTATTAATTCATGTTCCATTGTAACTTATTTATAATCGATGTTCCCGCAAAAGTACAATATAGTATGTTTGCAATATCTTTGATAGTATTATTTTGGCGACCTGAAACATGTGGCAACATCACTATGGAGACGTGAAACATGTGGCAACATAACTATGGCGAAATAAGGCATCTATGACGACATTACTACACTACGAGACCTGAAACATCAGCATAGATACCCGAGTTTGGAGACGTCGGTATTTTTTGAAAAGAATTACTGTGCATGCTAAGTTCCCAGTTGGGACCAGTACCTTAACAAGGCACAAAGAGAAGAATTATCAGCTAGTTAAAAGTGCAGCATCACTCATTCATATACGCTCTTGCTTCTTAGAAGGCGGTCTGTTGTTGATACAAGGCCAGCATCTTAACTCCTGCCAGTGTTTTCCTCAATAACAGCTACCTCAAAATTGTAATCGTTATCAACCTAGTGCCACCATTGTTTTCACATGACACTGTTGCTCTTTCTCTCTCTTGGTGCCTCGGAGTCTTGTACCCTGATAGGGGCGAGGGGGAGGAGGAGGGATGGCAGGTGGCTCCAGTCTGTCTCAGGGGGAGGGTTGGCAGGCGGACCACCACGGTGCCAACCTTTCATTTACCATATCTATACCCGGGAATGGGAGAATGGGAAGAGAAGCGGCAGAGGGAGATAATAGGGAGGGAGGGGAGAAAGGAAAGAGAAGCAGGATAGAGGGAGGATACTCTCCATAAGCTAGGATCTTCATTCGGGCTTATACGCATATTTGCACTAATCTCGGCTCCTAAACTCATCAGTGGACTGTATATCATCTCAGTTGGCTAAACTATGTGCCTTAAATGATACAGAGGAGCTGTTGCTTTTTGTATTATTATTAACCTGATGGATGGTCGACTCTCTTTAATTTAACCCCGGGAACTCTGCACAAGAAGCCGATTCACCTCAGACAAGCCCAAATGCCAATGATATGACACGCATACAGGATGTGCTTTGCCTCATAACAAGTGTGGAACAACGGCAAGAGTTATGTATCAAGAATACAGGTTCACGTCACCGACACGAGAGCATGGAGTAAATGAGCAAGGTGGCAGTAACTTGACCACAAACCTGAAGCAAAGCCTAGCACATTGGTCTGCTCCCCCCCCCACCACCACCACCACCAAGCCTAGCACATTGGTCTCCTCCTACCACCACCACCACCAAGCCTAGCACATTGGTCTCCTCCTACCACCACCACCACCAAGCCTAGCACATTGGTCTCCTCCTACCACCACCACCACCAAGCCTAGCACATTGGTCTCCTCCTACCACCACCACCACCAAGCCTAGCACATTGGTCTCCTCCCACCACCACCACCACCACCAACACAAGCCTCGCCTCTAATCCCCTCCCAGAGTTTCTAATTAGCGCTAAGTGGGTGCCTGGCGCCGTCCTGCTGCCTACGTTTAACTGATATTGTTACTTGAACTCAGGTCCTTACTCAGGTCTTCACTACTGTGCTTACGATTAATGAATTATAACACGGGTGCCAGTGAACTCTCAAGAACCACTCTTCCATTACCTGAAGCGTTATGAACGGTAGGATCTTTAAATGCTACCTGAAATATTATTCTTTGGAATGTTCTGCAGCTAAACTCACTCCATTGATCAATCACCTTAACTCATAATAAATGTCAAGGTTCTGTAAGACCGGCCACTCTTGCCATGGGTGTTAGAGGGTGTGGCGGCAGATGAGCCACACCCGTACTTGGCAGCGCCATACACACATAACTAGACTGTATCTCATCACTTGTTCACACATATGTTCAGTCTTTATCACAAGCCCAAAGAAGGTGGCACTATGAATATCCTTTCTCCTAAGACTTGTTAAGTAATTCTGCGAGTACAAAGTAGGGGGGGGGGGAGACGGATTCTTGAGGTTATTTTGAGATGATTTCGGGGCTTTAGTGTCCCCGCGGCCCGGTCCTCGACCAGGCCTCCACCCCCAGGAAGCAGCCCGTGACAGCTGACTAACTCCCAGGTACCTATTTACTGCTAGGTAACAGGGGCATTCAGGGTGAAAGAAACTTTGCCCATTTGTTTCTGCCTCGTGCGGGAATCGAACCCGCGCCACAGAATTACGAGCCCTGCGCGCTATCCACTAGGCTACGAGGCCCCTACTGCCTAGTGGATGATCCACTACCACCTGGGTGACTGTCAATACCACTACAACTTGTAAAGTTGTTGATGTCAAATACCACAGCTGTTACAGTTCTCTACGATACCCGCAGTACAGATGTTCACGATACCAATACCTTCACCAGTACATTTGTTTACGATTCCATCACCAAGAGTACAGTTGTCTACGATATCATCACTAGTACAGTTGTCTACGATATCATCACTAGTACAGTTGTCTACGATATCATCACTAGTACAGTTGTCTACGATATCATCACTAGTACACATGTCTACGATACCAACACCATCACCAGCATAGTTGTCAACGCTAGCACCATTAGTACAGATGTCTCATACCAACACTACCACCAATAGTTACGATACCACCACCACCAGTACATTTGTTTATGATACCACCACCAGTACCGTCGTCTGACATACCAACACCACAAGCTAAAGACAGTTCTAAACACTACTCTCCCGCTGTACAATTACACAAAAATACTATAGTCAGCCGTCAAATTATCCATTACCCTTCCATCCTCTTTCTCAGGTCTTCAGGCTGCGAAAAATCATGTTTGGGGACCTGATTTATCTTAGCTAATTCAGCACCATCTGTACTCGCCTAGTTGTGCTTGCGGTGGTTGGGCTTCGGCTCTTTACTCCCGTCTTTGAACTGTCAATCAACTGTTGTACAGGTTCTTTAAGCCTATTGGGCTCTATCATATGTACATTTGAAACTGTGTATGTAAGTCAGCCTCCACCACATCACTGCCTAATGCATTCCATTTATTAACTACTCTTGATACTGAAAAAGTTCTTTCTAATGTCTCTGTGGCTCACCCAGTTTCCACCTGTGTGTTGTTCGCGTATCACCCGTGTTAAATAATCCGTTTATCTACCCTGTCAATTCCCCTGAGAATTTTGTATGTGGTAACCATGTCTCCCCGAACTCTTGTGTCTTCGAGCGAAGTGAGGTGCAAGATATATGGGAACGGGTCGAGCTGTGTGGACAGGTGTGTCCGACATGTGTCACACACCTGTCAACATAGCCATATCAAACACGTGGTCCATCGCTCACCCCAGAATATTCTACACCCCCGCTCCTGCGCCTGGTAAGCCCACTAACGGGCTCACCATAGCCCGTGCTACTTGCAACTTTTTGTTCCCAGTAGCTGAAGCTAAAATAACGCTCAAACATTCCTCGTCATCAACAGTTTCCTCACATATACAGGAGCATCATATAGGATTATAGGTAATAAAAGTCTATTCGCGTCATATCTACAGACACCATGTTATATATACTTCCAATATACTTCCCTGCTCGGAAAAATTATTATCATTACTATAAACCCGCATTAATCTGGAGACTTTATAATTATCCCGCAGTAAATTAATTCCTCGTGGAATTAAAACAAACTATCAAAAAATTCATTTGCCCATATTGCTAACCAATTTAGGGTATGAGTGGCGCTGCCCAATAAACTCGCCCCTTGGGGCAAAATTAAACAAAAAAAAATTGCTAATCAATTTTAACGTGAATATTACCTTTATCAGGTAATTATTTCTGCCCGAAACGCTGCGCGTACTAGTGGCTATACAAGAGTGTAATTACTATCCAATGTATCCTCACAATCCCAATGTACCTTCTTGTATATAAATAAAATAAATAATAAAATAAATCAGTTGTTTGTCACTATAAATATGGAACATAAGTGCTGACAACAATCACGCGCCGTGGAACGATTTCATCGCGACTTTTAGTAAGCAACAAATCACTTTGATCACACATTTAACAGCGCGTATTTTAATATTAACGTACCTTTCCCCTTGTCTTTCACTCGCTAGTCTATCCCTTCTCAAGAGTGTCTTGGCTGCTCATTATAATTACCCCCCCCCCGTCACTCCCCTCCCCCCCCTCTGCTATACTAACAAACACACACTCATAAAATAAACCAGGCGAGGCCCGGAGACACGACCAATATGTGTCCTCTGTGTTTAGCCTCCAGCGTCCTGACAATGTTCCCCGCGCGCCAGGGGGACATTGTCGGGAGTCTTGAGGTGTGTGAGGGGGGCCAGCCGGGTGTGTGAGGGGGGCCAGCCGGGTGTGTGAGGGGGGCCAGCCGGGTGTGTGAGGGGCCAGTCGGGTGTGTGAGGGGGCCAGCCGGGTGTGTGAGGGGCTAGTCAGGTGTAGGCTGGTGTGTGAGGCTAGCCGGGTGTGTGAGGGGCCAGCCGGGTGTGTGAGGGGCCAGCCGGGTGTGTGAGGGGCCAGCCGGGTGTGTGAGGGGCCAGCCGGGTGTGTGAGAGGCCAGCCGGGTGTGGGCTGATGTGTAAACTAACTGCTCCACATATGTGTATATTTCCCTATATTAACGCGGCCTTTTGTTATAATTATTATTTTACAATTTGATCAAATTGAGATTGTCTTTCATTTGCTCATCTATGATGCATAATTAAATGTCTGATTGGTTTTTAATCACTTGTGTTCACATGGAGCTTATTCTAAATGTAAGTGAAACCAAACCTGAACGTGAATTGAACTCACACTGAACGTATATGGAGCTACTATTGATTTAAGTTCATTTAACTAGACAGCAATTGTTACGATAATTAACAAACCTTAATAACAAACCTTAATAATTAATAAACCTTAATATGATTAAACACAAGTGATATAATATATTAATCGATATATTGTATCGATTGATATCTTCTGATATTACCCAACTGTTGAAAAGATATCCACATTCTTGTGTTCTGTACCAGCGTTTTGCTGTTGACTACTAGTAAGTCTATGGTCTAATCAATAAAGCAAATAAATCTACGGAATTACGGGTTATTCATGCCCCTGCCACCTCTTGGGTGGCTTAATTCTTCATCAATCATCACTGTACAGATCTGAAGGCAGGTAATCTTCATATATAAATTTAAAGTGCCTGTGAAAACTTGCTGATGTTCGACTTAAGTGCCATTAAAAAAACAACTCATGGTAAAGACATTAAAAATATGCTTGACAGAACCTTAAGAAATGCTCAAGGTTAAAATTTGTGTAACTAAATGTATATGTAACAATATAAACCTAAGTGTAAATTATGTTCATGTCGTGCGACTCTCAAACATCGGAGTTATATATCATTTTCGGCTCTTAAAGTAAGCAAGTCTGTCAATCCCTGCATAGAAGCTACAGCGACATCCCCGTCCCCGGCTGGACCACTATGATATGGCATTAGATGTTATGGAAGACAAACATAACGCGGATGTAATTTACACAGATTTCGCAAAAGCTTTTGATAAATGTTACCATGGCGTTATTGCACATAAAATGCGTTCAAAAGGAATTACCGGAAAAATAGGCAGATGGATCTACAATTTCCTGACCAACAGAACCCAATGTGTAATAGTCAACAAAATAAAATCCAGCCCATCAACCGTGAAGAGCTCAGTCCCCCAGGGTACTGTGCTTGCTCCAGTACTTTTTCTCATCATCATATCGGACATAGACCAGAACACAACCTATAGCACTGTATCATCCTTTGCAGATGACACTAGGATCTTCATGAGAGTAGGCAACATAGAGGACACGGCAAACCTCCAGTCAGATGTAGATCAGGTCTTTCTATGGGCTACAGAAAATAATATGGTGTTTAACGAAGATAAGTTCCAGCTCATGCGCTATGGAAAAAATGAAAATATAAAAACGGAAACCACGTACAAAACTCAGGCAAATCATAACATAGAACGAAAAGGCAATGTAAAGGATCTGGGTGTACTCATGTCGGAAGACCTTACCTTTAAAGAACACAATAAAGTAGCCGTCACAACTGCAAGAAAAATAACAGGCTGGATAACAAGAACTTTTCACACTAGAGATGCTATACCGATGATGATACTTTTCAAGACGCTAGTGCTCTCTAGAGTAGAGTACTGCTGCACAATGACAGCACCTTTCAAAGATGGAGAAATTGCTGACCTGGAGAGCGTGCAGAGATCCTTTACTGCTAGAATCCACTCAGTAAAACATCTAAACTATTGGGACCGACTAAAGAGCCTAAATCTGTACTCCCTTGAGCGCAGGCGGGAGAGATACATAATAATTTACACGTGGAAAATATTAGAGGGCTGGTCCCAAACCTGCACACAGAAATAACACCACATGAGACCAGGAGGCATGGCAGGATGTACAGAATACCCCCGTTGAAAAGTGGAGGTGCAACAGGTACTCTGAGAGAGAACTCTATCAACATCAGAGGCCCGAGACTGTTCAACACGCTTCCACTACACATAAGGGGCATAACTGGCAATCCCCCTCACAGTGTTCAAGAGAGAACTGGATAAGCACCTCTAAAGGATACCTGATCAACCAGGCTGTGACTCATACGTCAGGCTGCGATCAGCCGCGTCCAACAGCCTGGTTGATCAGTCCAGCAACCAGGAGGCCTGGTCGACGACCGGGCCGCGGGGACGCTAAGCCCCGGAAGCACCTCAAGGTAACCTCAAGGTAGGTCCTCATAATAGTACGTCGCAATTTGACGTATACTCTACCTAGGGCCAAAAATTGTCGTACTAGAAAATGGAAGGGGCTCGCGGAAGTGACGTACTGTCCCGTTTTCTGTTTTTGGGGGTCCTCTGGTAGGTTAGGATAAGGCACTTTAGTACGACAGTTTCTTGACGTTGGGACACCTTAGGAGGCCGGGCTGACCTCCAGGCTTAAGGTGGTTCCAGGCAGCTGGAGTAGAACTGTGCAAATAGGCAAACTACAGTTGTAGCTTGCCAGGTCCTCTCTTGTCCTCCACGGCCAGGTCTTCTCTTGTCCTCCACGGCCAGGTCTTCTCTTGACCTCCACGGCCAGGTCTTCTCTTGTCCTCCACGGCCAGGTCTTCTCTTGACCTCCACGGCCAGGTCTTCTCTTGACCTCCACGGCCAGGTCTTCTCTTGTCCTCCACGGCCAGGTCTTCTCTTGACCTCCACGGCCAGGTCTTCTCTTGACCTCCACGGCCAGGTCTTCTCTTGACCTCCACGGCCAGGTCTCTGTTGACGGAACCCGTCCTCTCGAATAGTACGTCGCATTTTGACGTATAAATCCCCTAACTAAAAAAAAATGAGGGTAGAAATAGCCTAAGCTACTATATCCTTTTGAGATGTATTTTATTGTCTCAATAAACGCACACGAACGGCAAAAACTGACGTACTAAAAATCATGACGGCTCGCAAAATTGACGTGATGTCCCGTTTTCTACACATACGTTCCCGGTTAGGCTAGACTCGGGCAGTTTAGTACTAGTGTCGCCAATTTGGATATTTTACATATTGATTTAGATTATATTTAGTTATATCTGGATGTCAGAAAATGCTATTTAGATGTTACATGTAAATCTAGATGAATGTAATAGAAGCTTGGATGTTCTTGGAAGTTTATTTGCATCTCATATTTCTTTCACTGCAAGAAAATTAAGAATACAATAATTATGCTACTTTCTGATTACATTTTCTGTGTGTGGATAGGCAGGCAGGATCATTACTGTGTGTGGATAAGCAGGCAGGAGTGTTACTGTGTGTGGATAGTCAGGGGGGATGGTTACTGTGTGTAGATAAGCTGGGGGAATGGTTACTGTGTGGATAAGCTGGGGGAATGGTTACTGTGTGGATAAGCTGGGGGAATGGTTACTGTGTGTGGATAGGCAGGCAGGAGAGTTACTGTGTGTGGATAGGCAGGGAGGAGGGTTACTGTGTGTGGATAGGCAGGGAGGAGGGTTACTGTGTGTGGATAGGCAGGGAGGAGGGTTACTGTGTGTGGATAGGCAGGCAGGAGGGTTACTGTGTGTGGATAGGCAGGCAGGAGGGTTACTGTGTGTGGATAGGCAGGGAGGAGGGTTACTGTGTGTGGATAGGCAGGGAGGAGGGTTACTGTGTGTGGATAGGCAGGCAGGAGGGTTACTGTGTGTGGATAGGCAGGCAGGAGGGTTACTGTGTGTGGATAGGCAGGCAGGAGGGTTACTGTGTGTGGATAGGCAGGCAGGTGGGTTACTGTGTGTGGATAGGCAGGCAGGAGGGTTACTGTGTGTGGATAGGCAGGGAGGAGGGTTACTGTGTGTGGATAGGCAGGCAGGAAGGTTACTGTGTGTGGATAGGCAGGCAGGAGGGTTACTGTGTGTGGATAGGCAGGGAGGAGGGTTACTGTGTGTGGATAGGCAGGCAGGAGGGTTACTGTGTGTGGATAGGCAGGGAGGAGGGTTACTGTGTGTGGATAGGCAGGCAGGAGGGTTACTGTGTGTGGATAGGCAGGCAGGAGGGTTACTGTGTGTGGATAGGCAGGCAGGAGAGTTACTGTGTGTGGATAGGCAGGGAGGAGGGTTACTGTGTGTGGATAGGCAGGCAGGAGGGTTACTGTGTGTGGATAGGCAGGGAGGAGGGTTACTGTGTGTGGACGGCCCATGTTCTACCATATGCCAAATTTTGGTTTACTGAGAATTATATAAATTATATATAAATGTAGTATTTTCCTTGTAAATTGATGTATATATGATTTTTATATTGCTTATTATTTAAACACGATTAGTACAGCCCTAGTCAGTTTGAACCAATGGCGTCTGTGGCTGTGATTTGAGACATTCTCGAGAATATTTCTATAGTAACAAAACTATATAGTTACTATAGAGACATTCTCGAGCGATGGAAGAAAGGACTTAATTTTTTTTTAATTTTGCCTCGAGGGGCGAGTTTATTGGGCAGCGCCACTTGTCCTGTGAGTAGACACACCGCCAAGGCAGCATGTACAACACTCCCCAATAGGAAGAAAACCCGCTGGGTTGTTCATCCGAGAAGCAGAGGGAAGATGAGAAGGAGAAGCAGGAGGAAGTGCAAAGTCAAACTTCTGATGACAAACAAACTTGCATGAAAGCACAAAACATAACACACACATAATATGGGGGGGGGGTCTCGTAGCCTGGTGGATAGCGCGCAGGACTCATAATTCTGTGGCGCGGGTTTGATTCCCGCACCAGGCAGAAACAAAGGGGCAAAGTTTCTTTCACCCTGAATGCCCCTGTTACCTAACAGTAAATAAGTACCTGGGAGTTAGTCAGCTGTTACGGACTGCTTCCTGGGGTGTGTGTGTGGTGTGGAAAAAAAAGTTAGTAAACAGTTGATTGACAGTTGAGAAGCGGGCCGAAAGAGCAAAGCTCAACCCCCGCAAACACAACTAGGTGAATACCAATCATTTTACTCGTCCACAGTAAAGACCAAATATATATATAAACAAAAGCAGAACTAACTCACATTAAAGAACAATCATAGAGAGAGAGATAACACCAGAAAAGAAAGCAATGTAAATAAAGAGAATGTTTTTCTCCATCACGAGGAGGACAACACGGGGAGGCTACATAAATAATCATTGCTAGTGAAGAAAAACAAAATAATATCCACCAAATTATTTTAACCCCCACCACTGCTTTATTTCTTTTGGCAACTTAATATTGTTATTGTATGCTAGGCTTGTATCCACTAGCACTCATGCTCCTGTATTAGATGTGATTTATAGACAACATTATTAAATGTATTTGAGGACTGTCATGTGGTGTAGTCGTAGCCAGCGGTCCACACGTGGCCTTATAGCTGCCTGCGACGGGTCCACACGTGGTCTTATAGCTGCTTGCGACGGCTCCACACGTGGTCTTATAGCTGCTTGCGACGGCTCCACACGTGGCCTTATAGCTGCCTGCGACGGCTCCACACGTGGTCTTATAGCTGCTTGCGACGGCTCCACACGTGGTCTTATAGCTGCTTGCGACGGCTCCACACGTGGCCTTATAGCTGCCTGCGACGGCTCCACACGTGGTCTTATAGCTGCTTGCGACGGCTCCACACGTGGTCTTATAGCTGCTTGCGACGGCTCCACACGTGGCCTTATAGCTGCCTGCGACGGCTCCACACGTGGTCTTATAGCTGCTTGCGACGGCTCCACACGTGGCCTTATAGCTGCCTGCGACGGGTCCACACGTGGTCTTAGCTGCTTGCGGCGGGTCCACACGTGGTCTTAGCTGCTTGCGGCGGGTCCACACGTGGTCTTAGCTGCTTGCGGCGGGTCCACACGTGGTCTTAGCTGCTTGCGGCGGGTCCACACGTGGTCTTAGCTGCTTGCGGCGGGTCCACACGTGGTCTTAGCTGCTTGCGGCGGGTCCACACGTGGTCTTAGCTGCTTGCGGCGAGTCCACACGTGGTCTTAGCTGCTTGCGGCGGGTCCACACGTGGTCTTAGCTGCTTGCGGCGAGTCCACACGTGGTCTTAGCTGCTTGCGGCGGGTCCACACGTGGTCTTAGCTGCCTGCGGCGGGTCCACACGTGGTCTTAGCTGCCTGCGGCGGGTCCACACGTGGTCTTAGCTGCTTGCGGCGGGTCCACACGTGGTCTTAGCTGCTTGCGGCGGGTCCACACGTGGTCTTAGCTGCTTGCAGCGAGTCCACACTTGGTCTTAGCTGCTTGCGGCGGGTCCACACGTGGTCTTAGCTGCTTGCGGCGGGTCCACACGTGGTCTTAGCTGCCTGCGACGGGTCCACACGTGGTCTTAGCTGCTTGCGGCGGGTCCACACGTGGTCTTGGCTGCTTGCGGCGGGTCCACACGTGGTCTTAGCTGCCTGCGACGGGTCCACACGTGGTCTTAGCTGCTTGCGGCGGGTCCACACGTGGTCTTAGCTGCTTGCGGCGGGTCCACACGTGGTCTTAGCTGCTTGCGGCGGGTCCACACGTGGTCTTAGCTGCTTGCGGCGGGTCCACACGTGGTCTTAGCTGCTTGCGGCGGGTCCACACGTGGTCTTAGCTGCCTGCGACGGGTCCACACGTGGTCTTAGCTGCCTGCGACGGGTCCACACGTGGTCTTAGCTGCCTGCGACGGGTCCACACGTGGTCTTAGCTGCCTGCGACGGGTCCACACGTGGTCTTAGCTGCCTGCGGCGGGTCCACACGTGGTCTTAGCTGCCTGCGGCGGGTCCACACGTGGTCTTAGCTGCCTGCGACGGGTCCACACGTGGTCTTAGCTGCATGCGACGGGTCCACACGTGGTCTTAGCTGCGTGCGGCGGGTCCACACGTGGTCTTAGCTGCGTGCGGCGGGTCCACACGTGGTCTTAGCTGCTTGCGGCGGGTCCACACGTGGTCTTAGCTGCCTGCGACGGGTCCACACGTGGTCTTAGCTGCCTGCGACGGGTCCACACGTGGTCTTAGCTGCCTGCGACGGGTCCACACGTGGTCTTAGCTGCCTGCGACGGGTCCACACGTGGTCTTAGCTGCCTGCGACGGGTCCACACGTGGTCTTAGCTGCCTGCGACGGGTCCACACGTGGTCTTAGCTGCCTGCGACGGGTCCACACGTGGTCTTAGCTGCCTGCGACGGGTCCACACGTGGTCTTAGCTGCCTGCGACGGGTCCGCTGCGTAGCCTAGCGTCCGTCCGTCGCTGCTACCATCTGGGCCCGCCCCTGTGCCCTAGTTTGTGGGCGCCGCCACGTGGTGTGGACGCCCATAAGAAACACCCCCAAGGAAACTGAAATATATTCTACTGAACATTCACAGAATATTAGAAAAGGCCTATCAACACGGCCCGTATAAACCCACCCTCCGGGGCAAAATGAAAAATACATAACAAAATACGCTACTGTTCCCAAACTGAATACATAAAGAAATAAATTAAGAAAAGAAAGAGACGGGAGAGATTTTTTTGGAGGAGGGGGGGGGGGAAGGGAAGGGGAAGGGGGAATGGGGAAGAGGGAGGGGGAGAGGTGGAAGGAGGGAGGGAGAGCCAGAGGAGGTCCACGGGGAAGGAAGAGGAGGAATAGGAGGGAGGTGGGCAATAGTGGGCTAGGGGCGGAGAGAGCAGGGGCAGCAGGGGAGAGGGATGTGAAGGGAGAGGGGGCAGCGAGGAGGGAGTTTCCCACGGGTAGAGTGTGACGGTTAACAGAGGGAGGGGGGGGGGGGAGCCTCACCATCACCCCCACAACACCCCCCCCCCCTTCACTTCCCCACACTCACTGATTTGCATCTTCCCCCCACCTTCCCACCCACCCCCACCACTATCCACCTCCTCATCTGCTACCCACAAGACGTTTCCCTGTGTGCTCGTTTCTTAAGGAATTGTTAAGTCGCAGTAATATCTCAAATTCTAGAGAAAGACTTCCGTTGCATTTGCAAATTAAAATACATATACTGTATATACATTTTTTTACAGTAAAATGTTCGTTATAGACTTTTCACAGTAAAAATATGACCCAAAGTTTGGACAAAAATCTAGAGTAAATGTTTGTGTATTCAGGTCAAAATCTTTGTTCTCATACACAATACATATTAAATTAGCAAATGTAAACTTTGTCAGCAGAACTGCCCACATACCTCACGCCACTATGTAACTCAATGTGAAAACATTAAAGAGTTTTAGGAGATAACTATCGATATACAAATGTTAACAATCACTAATTCGCACAAAAAATTGTCATGTTGCTATGGTATCCAAAATCTTAGCCTGGTATACCAAGCTGCATACCTGGTATACCTGGTATACCTTTTGTACACAACTTCGATCCCGCGAGGCTTCGATCCGGCGTGATATGAATATTTTCTCATAAATAAAAAAAAAATATATATATATATATATATATATATATATATATATATATATATATATATATATATATATATATATATATATATATATATATATATATATATCATCTCCCGCCATGATTCAAGTTAGTGATGTACTCACTAACTTGTACTCATGTACTCATGTACTTGTGTTGTGTACATCATCTCCCGGGAACTCGTTGCTCTGATAAAACATAAACAAACGCGAGTCATTTCTGGGAAAAGTAAACGATAATTCAACGAAATCTTCGTTTATCAACATATTATCATTATACACGAGGACGCTCAGGGCTCTGTTGTTCCTCTTAATTAATATACATACTGTAGAGGGGGTCAATGTGAAGGTGATGGTGGGGAAGGTGATGGTGAGGAAGGTGATGGTGGGGAAGGTGATGGTGAGGAGGGTGATGGTGGGGAAGGTGATGGTGGGGAGGGTGATGGTGGGGAAGGTGATGGTGAGGAGGGTGATGGTGGGGAAGGTGATGGTGAGGAGGGTGATGGTGGGGAAGGTGATGGTGAAGAGGGTGATGGTGGGGAAGGTGATGGTGAGGAGGGTGATGGTGGGGAAGGTGATGGTGATGAGGGTGATGGTGGGGAAGGTGATGGTGAGGAGGGTGATGGTGGGGAAGGTGATGGTGGGGAAGGTGATGGTGAGGAGGGTGATGGTGGGGAAGGTGATGGTGGGGAAGGTGATGGTGGGGAAGGTGATGGTGAGGATGGTGATGGTGGGGAAGGTGATGGTGGGGAAGGTGATGGTGAGGAAGGTGATGGTGGGGAAGGTGATGGTGGGGAAGGTGATGGTGAGGAGGGTGATGGTGGGGAAGGTGATGGTGGGGAAGGTGATGGTGAGGAGGGTGATGGTGGGGAAGGTGATGGTGAAGAGGGTGATGGTGGGGAAGGTGATGGTGAGGAAGGTGATGGTGGGGAAGGTGATGGTGAGAGGGTGATGGTGGGGAAGGTGATGGTGGGGAAGGTGATGGTGAGGAGGGTGATGGTGGGGAAGGTGATGGTGGGGAAGGTGATGGTGAGGAAGGTGATGGTGGGGAAGGTGATGGTGAGAGGGTGATGGTGGGGAAGGTGATGGTGAGGAAGGTGATGGTGGGGAAGGTGATGGTGAGGAAGGTGATGGTGGGGAAGGTGATGGTGAAGAGGGTGATGGTGGGGAAGGTGATGGTGGGGAAGGTGATGGTGAGGAGGGTGATGGTGGGGAAGGTGATGGTGGGGAAGGTGATGGTGGGGAAGGTGATGGTGGGGAAGGTGATGGTGGGGAAGGTGATGGTGGGGAAGGTGATGGTGGGGAAGGTGATGGTGGGGAAGGTGATGGTGGGGAAGGTGATGGTGGGGAAGGTGATGGTGAGGAGGGTGATGGTGGGGAAGGTGATGGTGGGGAAGGTGATGGTGAAGAGGGCCAGTGTGTAGCGAGAGACGCAGTCCACCAGACCCTTCGCCTCCCCGCTGCAAGAACTACCGCACTAACAACAACAAACGCAGTTGCAGCCGCAAAAACTGTATACCGTGCACTGAGGCAGCAGCAAAGGAAGACACCCGCAGCTGCAGCACTAGAGAGGCAGCCACAGCTGCAGCACCAGAGAGGCAGCCACAGCTGCTGCACCAGAGAGGCAGCCACAGCTGCAGCACCAGAGAGGCAGCCACAGCTGCAGCACCAGAGAGGCAGCCACAGCTGCAGCACCAGAGAGGCAGCCACAGCTGCAGCACCAGAGAGGGAGCCACAGCTGCAGCACCAGAGGCAGCCACAGCTGCAGCACTAGAGAGGCAGCCACAGCTGCAGCACCAGAGGCAGCCACAGCTGCAGCACCAGAGAGGCAGCCACAGCTGCAGCACCAGAGGCAACCACAGCTGCAGCACCAGAGGCAGCCACAGCTGCAGCACCAGAGATGCAGCCACAGCTGCAGCACCAGAGAGGCAGCCACAGCTGCTGCACCAGAGAGGCAGCCACAGCTGCAGCACCAGAGAGGCAGCCACAGCTGCAGCACAAGAGAGGCAGCCACAGCTGCAGCACCAGAGAGGCAGCCACAGCGGCAGCACTAGAGAGGCATCCACAGCTGCAGCACCAGAGGCAGCCACAGCTGCAGCACCAGAGAGACAGCCACAGCTGCAGCACCAGAGAGACAGCCACAGCTGCAGCACCAGAGAGGAAGCTGTCTTCTGCCTCTCCCCCTGCAGCTGCAAGGCAGTAACAAAGATCAGAGAAGACAGCATCAACAGCAACATCGATGCAGCTGATTAACAGCATCAGGGTGATTGAACTTGGCGGCGACAAAAGAAACGGCAACAGAACGCCACAGCCGCAGCAACAGGTGCAACAGTAGCAGCAGGAGTAATAGTAACAGGTGCAACAGTCGCAGCAACAATAACAGCATGAAAAACAGTAGGCGTAATAAAAGCAGCAGCAGCAACACGATCATCAACAGTAGCAGCAGCAGAAGTGGATAACCAGCAGCAGCAGGAGCAGAAGCAGACAAGACAGTAACAGACCCAGCAGGGGGCGGACGCACCATGTGGCGCTACTTCGTAAACGTAGAAGAATTGATGACCGCAATACCAGCCAGTAACTGGAGGAGCACCTAGGAAAAAAAGATAAAAGATAAGAATGAATGAAAACGACGAGATTAGTCATCCTAGGAAAAAAAAAGAAACTAAGCGCGAAGAATGAACCCAAGAGAGAGAGAGAGAGAGAGAGAGAGAGAGAGAGAGAGAGAGAGAGAGAGAGAGAGGAGAGAGAGAGAGAGAGAGAGAGAGAGAGGGGGGGAAGGGAGAGGAAGAGGAGAGAGAGAGAGAGAGAGAGAGAGAGAGAGAGAGAGAGAGAGAGAGAGAGAGAGAGAGAGAGAGAGAGAGAGAGAGGAAGGGAGTGGAAGAGGAGAGAGAGAGAGAGAGAGAGAGAGAGAGAGAAGAGAGAGAGAGAGAGAGAGAGAGAGAGAGAGAGAGAGAGAGAGAGGAAGGAGTGGAAGGAGAGAGAGAGAGAGAGAGAGAGAGAGGAGAGAGAGAGAGAGAGATAGAGAGATAGAGAGAGAGGAGAGGGGGGGGAGGGGAAGGGAGAGGAGAGAGAGAGAGAGATAGAGAGAGAGAGAGAGAGAGAGAGAGAGAGAGAGAGAGAGAGAGAGAGAGAGAGAGAGAGAGAGAGAGAGAGAGAGAGAGAGAGAGAGAGAGAGGGGTGGAAGAGGGGAGAGAGAGAGAGAGAGAGGGGGGGAAGGGAGAGGAAGAGGAGAGAGAGAGAGAGAGAGAGATAGAGAGAGAGAGAGAGAGAGAGAGAGAGAGAGAGAGAGAAGAGAGAGAGAGAGAGAGAGAGAGAGAGAGAGAGAGAGAGAGAGAGAGAGAGGAGAGAGAAAGAGAGGAAGGGAGGAAGAGAGTCGAGAGAGAGAGAGAAGGGGGGGGGGGGCAACGCAAGCAAATATCAAGGCCGAGGGATTCGACCAAGAACAGCTGCCAAGATGGCTACGAGGTCACAACCGAGAGAGCCAACGGGGCTACTACCACAGCTGGGAGAGCCAACGAGGCTACTACCACAGCTGGGAGAGCCAACGAGGCTACTACCACAGTTGAGAGAGCCAACGAGGCTACTACCACAGCTGGGAGAGCCAACGAGGCTACTACCACAGCTGTGAGAGCCAACGAGACTACTACCACAGCTGGGAGAGCCAACGGGGCTACTACCACACCTGGGAGAGCCAACGAGGCTACTACCACAGCTGGGAGAGCCAACGAGGCTACTACCACAGCTGAGAGAACCAACGAGGCTACTACCATAGCTGGGAGAGCCAACGAGGCTACTACCACAGCTGAGAGAGCCAACGAGGCTACTACCACAGCTGGGAGAGCCAACGAGGCTACTACCACAGCTGAGAGAGCCAACGGGGCTACTACCACAGCTGTGAGAGCCAACGAGGCTACTACCACAGCTGGGAGAGCCAACGAGGCTACTACCACAGCTGTGAGAGCCAACGAGGCTACTACCACAGCTGGGAGAGCCAACGGCTCTACTACCACAGCTGGGAGAGCCAACGGGGCTAGTACCACAGCTGTGAGAGCCAACGAGGCTACTACCACAGCTGTGAGAGCCAACGAGGCTACTACCACAGCTGTGAGAGCCAACGAGGCTACTACCACAGCTGGGAGAGCCAACGAGGCTACTACCACAGCTGGGAGAGCCAACGGCTCTACTACCACAGCTGTGAGAGCCAACGAGGCTACTACCACAGCTGTGAGAGCCAACGAGACTACTACCCACAGCTGTGAGAGCCACGAGGCTACTACCACAGCTGAGAGAGCCAACGAGGCTACTACCACAGCTGGGAGAGCCAACGAGGCTACTACCACAGCTGTGAGAGCCAACGAGGCTACTACCACAGCTGTGAGAGCCAACGAGGCTACTACCACAGCTGGGAGAGCCAACGGGGCTACTACCACAGCTGTGAGAGCCAACGAGGCTACTACCACAGCTGAGAGAGCCAACGAGGCTACTACCACAGCTGGGAGAGCCAACGAGGCTACTACCACAGCTGTGAGAGCCAACGGGGCTACTACCACAGCTGTGAGAGCCAACGGCTCTACTACCACAGCTGGGAGAGCCAACGAGACTACTACCACAGCTGGGAGAGCCAGAGCCACCACGAGGCTACTACCACAGCTGTGAGAGCCAACGGGGCTAGTACCACAGCTGTGAGAGCCA